ACATATACCAGCTATGGAAAAAATAGGAAAATGCTATTTTCTGTATTTAATTCATCCTCAGTTTTCATATATGAAAAATAATTTGCACAAAAATGTTTTTATTCTTTTATTAGCCACAGAGTATGATGTCTTTGAAAATCGCATGGCCTTTTCATTTGTTGGGTTTTTATATTTTTGGATAGCTGAAAATCCTCAAAAAATTGATATTTTCATGTTTTTGCACATTTGGATTATCTCCCCTTTTCAGTTTAAAATTAGACCATGTTACTGGACATGGAAATATTTTGATTAATTATGAAAAGTAACTGGCTGTGCTGTATTTGAGTGAGAAATAAACATAACTGAGATTTCTTTTTTGATTTTCTTTTTATTTCAGCTTAAATATTGGCATTTTTGCCTATTTTTTGAGGAAATTTCAGCCAAATAATGCCGAAAACAGTGTTTCTGTTGCCATGGAAACCAGACACTGACTTGATAAAAATCTATTTTATTTTTTGGAAGTAACTAAGCATACTCTACCAACATGCAAAGTTTTAAAAAAAAATCTGAAACACCTCATGTGCCGCCCCCTGCCTGATTCTTACGTGGAATAGTACTTAACATTTCAATGGATTCTTCTTTTAGATGAACACGACACAAGTGGTATTTACTAAGGATGTACACTTAATAAATGTATGTTAACTGACACAGAGATAAAAACCCATTCTACAACTGCAGAAAGTATACAGATAAAAACTCATAATGCGCAAAGAAAGTACCGGTATAAATGAACATATGTTGAACAAATATGTTATGTCATAAAAGCACCTATGATCGTTCATATTAATGTGCATGTATAAGTACAATATACATATATAGAAATCATAACTGATATGTTATTTAAGAAGAGAGGAGGGCACATGTAAGTGTAATAACACATGTACATGTAAATGTAATAACACATTTACATGTACAGATACGATATTCTGTATTGAAAAATCATTTTCAAAATGTAACCAATATTTAAAATCTAGCTTTCTCATATTAATGATTAAAAAGGCATGAAACTACATTAAAGAATTCACATTGATAAGTAAAGTGTACAATGACCCATAGCATTATCTATAATACTTACCTGCACATTGATAAAAACATAAAACGATAACACAAAAAATAGAATTAAGAAACGCCTTGACAGCCATCTAAAGTTATTTTCATATTTATATTATACTTCCGGGTATGAATTAATGCAAAAATGGATATTTTTTTTTAATTTAATGTAAACTTTATAATTTCCTTATATAAAACATAAAGTCCATTTAATGAATAATTTCAGCTACATATAGATTTGTAGCACCAAAAATGCTATTAACGAAAATTTACCATACATATACTATTCTCGGGAACATAACTACGAATAGATACTTTTCGGGGAGGACGAACCTGGGTTCACAGCTGGGGGTGACGGCTTTTAAAAGATATGTGACAACAGAAACTCACAATACTTGCCTTCAAATAAATTAAATAGCATAAGTTCATCATAACTTTCTAAAATTTACGGAAAGCTAAAGGACCAAGGGATCTGAAAAGCATCAAAAGGGATGATGTCAAGAGAAATAGTTGTTGCACTTACATGTATTGCTGCGACTCTATCAACTCACCAATCACGGACACAGCCAGGAAGATTCTTTGCAAATATTATTCAGGTGAAAAAAAATGGGTAAAACGTTACATATCTCATTTTTCTTCAAAAGAGTAGAAAATAGAAAGGATCGAGAAGAAAGGTGATTATTCAAGAGTTGTCCTAAATATATCGATTTTTAAATTGCAATTTATGTGTACTGCGCCTCCTTCTTACACCAAACGCTGAAAAACTGTACTTAAATAGGGTTCAACTGTGTAATTGCTCAAAATGTGGCATAAAAGTATAAGTTATTATTAGTTTTATTTATGTACAAAGTTTCAATAATGTATTACATCAGGTTCCTATAAAAAAAATGCTTGTCTACGGAATTTTGGGACAACCTTTTTTATGAATGCTTCCTTCCTCAAGACTATCTATTAATGCAAAATAAAGGATAAAATTTGAAAAGGCACAATTAATATGTGCACGAATAAGATCATTTATGGCAATAAAGAGGGGGAGGGGGCTCTGTTTTTAATTTACAATGTATATGTACACAAAAAAGACCATAGAAAAACAGAATTTGTATATAAAGAAAACTAGATTTCCATTGACCCAAAGCATATTTGGGCTGCTCTTTTTCCCCGTGTTCTTTGTCCAAACATTTTAAAATACCATATGTAATCGATCTCCGTAAAGTTATACAAGGTTTACTTGCAGTCAGTTTTGCTATATTCATTGATACTTTCTCTCTGTTATAATTATTTATGTACAAAGAGATTGAACTATTTATTTCCTGTACAGAGTAAATGTATGCAAAACATGTTTAGTCTTGGGAGCAGTTGTTATTTCATTTATAATTTGAATGAAAAAGTGATATCGCCTATTTAAGGGGTAATATATCACCTATTCCTATTGGTGAAAACACCTATAAGCTATTTGATTTGAATGGATGTTATCACCTATTTGAATAGGTAATTTCAATTATTCAAATCAAATAGGTGATACAATTCAAATTATTTATGAATTATCAACTGCTCAGAAGACTAAACATCTTTTACATCCATATATAAATATAAATTTATACTAAAACTTAAACTGAAAATTAAAGTCTTTAACTATAAAGGGTACATTTACAATATTTTATGAACATATTCAATAGTTTCGAGAAACTTTGTCCAATTCCTCGCCACCCCCTTCTTAACGTGGTTAAAATGGAGTCATGTGGGGGGATTGAAAAGTTTAAAGTATAATTTATAACAATTAATCTTTAAAAATCTATTTTCGACATGACAACAAGAAAATCGTTTGTGAAATTCATACAGCGTAATTCAATAGTTGCTTATGCTGTCACGTCGGGGCCAGAATTATACATGTATATGAATGTATAGAAGAGTACCGTTAAAAATCTTCTAAAGAACAACATTTATATGTTTATTTGTCAAATGTATATGAAAGTGCACTTCGATAGTGTTAATTCAATTTTACTTTTAAATCCATTTTCTCAGCATCACAGTGGAGCCTCAATAGAGATCAATCGTTTGAAGTGATAATTCTGTACGAGGGCTGTTCAATTGTTTAATATAATATGTCTTTGGAGATCGGAAAGAAAAAAAAGGCATTTTTCAATGATTTTGTCTTTATCACTTCCCTAAAACCCTTAAAAAAACTCTCCTTTCATTGAAACATATGTCTGTAATATTTTAATTCAATTCCTAATTGTTTTTAAACACATTTTTGGGCATGCTCTTTATATACTGGAATATGGCAGATCCTATGAATTCCTGGAGTTGTTTTTTTTTTTCTTACTGAAATGGAATTCTTTTTAAACTTTGGAAAAAGAAACAAGTCGAAGTGGAAAGATCTGGCGTATATCGTAGTTGTGACAAAACATTAACTTTTTTCCCAAACACTCCCTTACCATTCTTGTAGGGTGTGTTGGCGCATTGTCGTGAAGAAAATTAATGTAGCAGATGTCTGATTCTGGTTCCTTCTTCTCATTAACCTTTCGAACTTTTTGCAACACTTGTTGTTCGTACATTCTTCCAAAAATGGCCTTCCCGAATAGGAATCTGAACTATAAGACCACCACAATTAAGAAAATGACATATAAAACTTTCCTTGTACTCTTGCATCTCTTTGGATTTCGGTACTTTTGCTTTTTTGGTCAACTACATTTTCAAAGTTGTTGTTAATTTTTTTAGGGTTCAAAGTGATAGATCCAGACTCAGGTTTCATTATCTGTTAAAATTTCAGACAAACGTGTATAGCCACATTTTTTTCAAAAAATTCTTTGGGCATTCTTTTATGTTGTCGTTTTCACACATTTGTAAAAACATACGGTAACCATCGCGTACTAAGCTTTCTCAGAGTCAAATGTTTCTTTAAAACAGAGCATACTAACCCCCAAAATATGACTATTAAATTTGCTATGCATCGAATAATCAATCAAATATCACTCGTGATAAGTTGTTGAATTTTAGCAAACATTGCATCGGTCTCCAAGGACGGTAATCATCTTTGATGCCCATTTTATCATTTTTGATCATTCACATAGTATTACCTGCTCATTTTGTCTATAAGACAAACATTTGTTACTGTAAATATCACATATTTCAGTGAATATTTCTTTGGGATTCTTACCACGTTTTACAGCAGCTTTAATGAATCTTCTAACTTCAATCTTGTTCACTTATTCTTTACCATTCATTTTCAATGCAGTGTCTCGAATAGCCTGTCTTTTCTATCGTCTCACAATGACACTGTATGATAAAATGTGGTCACCTATAGGATTATCGGTTGATTAAACATTCATTCATGAGAGAAAGCTAAGGTTAATGTCATATGATTTCTCAATTGTGTATCATAGAGTTCAGGACATAATTTATTGACTAGCCCTTGTAGGTATTTTTGTTCTTTTAAATTCATGAAAGGTAGGTATTTTAGTTAATCTGTTGACTTCAATTGTTATGTCACATTGTGTGAAACTTATGCATGTTAAATCATTGCAAGTTATCTCAGATTACGTCCAATTTGATTTCATGGTAATAAAATTTGACACTTTTTCCAAGAACCTTGAATGATATTAAGATGTATGAGATGAAATTTTTTGCAGGAAAAAAAATTTCAAACTTCATTTTGAGACATACTCATATAAATAATAATCCTAAGAGGTATTATTCCTGGCAGAGAAGCGGATATCCTTTAAATCTTCTGATGAAGAACACCGGGGCCAAGGTGACTCAGGAGAGCGTTGTGGTCTCTGGGTTTTATTATCTGTAGGGTTAATTTTCACAGTTATTTTTCTTTCTTATAATGTAACTATGTCATTGACATTTTCACCAGAAAAACTGTTCAATTATTTAAACATTTTCGGTGGATTTTTTTCAGTTTTTAACTACTTCATGTCAGAGTACATTCCACCTGAAATAACAAAAAAAAAAAAAAGAAAATCTTAAAATAGTTGAAAAATAATCAGTACTGCCATCAAAAATTAAATATCTCTTTCTTATATCAATCATAGTAAGGTAAAAGACTTTGCCTTTCAAGATTTTTTATGCTCAGACCCTGTAAATTTAAATAGATTCGTGCATATTTCACCATCGATTTCTGTAACCCTTTGGCATGATTGATAATGAATTTCTTGACAATGCAGTTTTATAACTAAGAAGAGAAAATTACATTTTTTGATATCTCTGTCATCTTTTGAAATTGTTTGATTAGTAATTTGATAATGATTACACCTAAGTTTCTTGGAAAAGACATTTTGTATACGAGTACATACTTTTCATTTTTAATTTAATAAAAATATATAATGTACAGGTGTTTAAAGACAATATTGTTGATATTACGTAATGTATTAGTCCTGAGTAAAAGCATTACTTAATATAATTTAGCAAAAACAATTATGTCATAAACGCACCCGTATCTACTGTTTTGCTCATCTCGTCTTCTTCTCGTTTACATGGGTGTGTTAATTCCATATATTCAGATCTACAATATCCAATTTTAATCTTATATTATATATAACCCAATTTATTTTATCCGAGTTTGAGCAATTAAGCTTATCTACATTTGTAACATATACTTGGGTTTTACCCTTTTTCTCTCTCGTGGCATTCTGTGAAAAAAGACAATACAATTGAATCAATTAATCAAAGTAATTATTTATTAAAACTGTCAATGTAAATTACAAATTGTATATGTATACATGAAGCTCATGTTAATTAAGTTTCATTATTAAAATTATTTTAAGTTATTTACCTTCCATCTTTTCATAAGTATTTGTGTTCATCGTTTCTTAAACAAAATTCAATACAAACAAAAAGGATCTAATTCTATGCAAATGTATTGACATAATATTTTACGACTATAATTTGTACACAGGACTGAATGAGTTCTGCTTGTTTGGTCCTATAAAACAATCGACAAAATTTCCTTCTAGATGTTATAATGTGTTTTCAATTCTAATATTTGTTTAAAAAAATAGAGGTAGCTTTTACTGATGTTGGTAGAATATTGGAAGAAAATACATTTGCTGAAATAAGAAAATATTTATAGCCTATAGCTACAATTGTTGATTTAGAAAATTGATAGAGGTTACATTTGCTATATTTTTTTTTTAAATTAGAGATTGAGGGTATACCTATAGTAATCGCAGGGATTGATATATGTTACCTTTGCTGATACTGGTAGAAAATCCTTGATAACTATGGTCACTACTGGGTAAAACTTGATCAACATAACTGACATCCTGCTTTCTTTTTTTTTAATAAAACATGTAAACATTAGCAAAAATGTATGCATACATAAATATTTTCCCCATTCCGCTAAACATGATTCGGTATTTATCTAATTTTGTTTACATAAATCAAAATTATGCCTATAGTACCACAATTTATTACTGTAACATTGGTTTAAATTTACCTGTTAGTTGTAACACTTTTGCCTAAAATGGAACCAATGAAAAAAAAAGCTATAAAATTATAAATTTAAAAAAAGCTATAAAATTACCCTAGGTATTTTCACTTCTCTTACATTAATAATAGTATATTTATAGAGTTTAATAAGTAAATTTACACAATATCTCTAAATAAGACAACTTGATATTGGTCCTTGATAGGAAATCCTTTATAATACCTTTATCAATCCTTTGCTTCCTGGATTTATACAGCGCAGTAACACCAACAAGCAGAATAATTATAAAAACAATGCCCCCAAGGGTGCCTCCTATGATCGACTCCATTTCACAGTTTTTCATTCTTTCTGTCATGTTTAAAGTCCATGATTATTTTTTTCCCATTTTTTATACATGTATACGATATTGATTATCTGTAGCATTTTTCATACTATGTTAATTATTTGTACCATTTGTTATATGTTGTTGATTAATTGTTGCATTTTTTTATAACATGCTGTATCATGGAAAAAAGATAAAAGAAGTACCTGTTTGTGCATCTATGTCTGTTGAGCACTTATGTCTTTTTGAGGAAGTGATACCATAAACATTAGAAACCAGGATTCTAAATGTGTATTCTGTTCCAGGTGACAAATTCAAAACTTTGTAGATATTAATTTCAGGTTGGGTTTTATTCAACACCTCAACAGTTGCATTTTCATAAACGTCATCAATCTTGCTGTATTGCAAAGTCTGCTTCCCTTCAATACCGAGAAACGATGACGTCAATGAAATAAAGGCAAAGTTTGTTTTACACACAACCTGTATAACTGGCGGGGGAAAGGGTTTTTCTGAAATTAATAAACAAATACTTTAAAACATTGATATCAACCTACATACATATATGTGCCAAGTTTAAACTTTTTCAAATACAACGTTATTGACTTTTTTTAAATTCAGTCCATGTGACCCATACATGCCAGTTTAACTTTAAGACAGCCTACTTTTTCACCTCTAGAAATAAGCAACAATCCATGTATTTCAAAGAAGGACCATAGCACATTATTTACTTCCTTGACCTTAAAAGTATATCAAACTATTCTGATTTGCAACACCCTTTTGAAGCAATTAGCAAATTTAGACATGAATTGTTACCATAGCATCTTATTTATATTCCTTGTGCTTACTCGCAACTTCTTATTCTTCTTCACAACATTATGTAACATATGAATAATTATAGGGGAAAAAATGTATGTAAAAAAGAGCACACTCTGACGAATCATTTTATCTATATTTGTCTACTATTAACCACTTTTACATTTTCATGATTTCTATTCTTAAATTTTTGATTTTTTAAAATATCTCTAAATTTTAAGTTTTTAAAATATTTTTAAAGAAAATTTATCCATCAAAGTATTATATATGTCAAAACAGAATAAAGGATAACTATTTTCAAGTCCAATATAGTACCATTTTGGGTGTAATATCACCAAAAAATATTTATCATGATTGATAAAAACAACAGACATTAAAAGAACTGTCTCTTTTTTCAGTATTTAAAATTAAAACTTTACAAAGCTACATCTTAGAGTTGTTGAAAAGGTTTTTGTCTGAAAAACTAACATTAATTTAATTTTATTTGGGTAATATATAATTAAAAGGTATGGAGGTGGCGAATACAATTTAGTATAATACCCAAAAATCTTGAAAATAAGCCGGATTTAATAATAAGCCGGTTTTGAAAATAAACCACCTATTTCTTGCATAGAAAATTACTCGAAAATAAGCCTGTTTTGAAAATAAGCCGGTCATGACAATGCCATTTAGGAATAAAATATAAAAAAAATACTTCTTTTTTCTACATGCAAGATATTGAACATAGTATTATTTTAATTGTTTTATTTTATTATAAACATTCCATGACATTTTTGATTTTATTCAACAAAGCACGAGATATTATTGCATTATTTTCTTTTTTACTGTTAAGCTACATGTATCGGAAATCTTGATATTTATTACATGTCGTCTATATCCTCGCAGAAATAATTTTATTTCAACAAATCACGAAAAACTGTTCAATTTCATTTTGAAGAGATCGACTTAAATCTTTATTTAACAGCGGTAATCATGACTTTGTACATCGCGGTAATCTTCGCAGATATAATTATCTTTTTTTCAACAGAGTTCGAGTTATTTTAACAATTAAGTTTTAACAGACTTTATATTTCCTTTTTCAAATTACTATAACGTACGGTTAAAAATCTACGCCTCAATTATATCAATAAAAATTATCAAAGCCATTGATAATAGAGGTGTTGAGATAATCACAACAATGGCTTTAATTGGGACGTATATATACAGGGGTGTTTACATTGAAAATTGAAATGATTTTCTCTGAGTTATTGGAAATCAAAATAAATTTAGTTTTATTATATTTTATTACAGATTTACCGAGTGTCTCTCTGATTTGATACCTGTGCACTACGATTACGCAAGCACGTGGCAAAGGAATGTGCAAACGTCTATAAACAACATCCTTATATGGCGGCTTGAATATGCAGCTAAAATTAATTATAACTCGCTTTCCAATATTATTTAACTATGAACAGATTTCAAATCTAACATTTTCAACAAGTTTACGTTCTAACAATAATTTACTAAGGTTTTACATATAGCAGTGAACAAAAGAAATTGGCTATACTACACTCGGCCAAATGTGGTAGTTCACAATCGATCGATTATAATTCATTTATGTTTTGATAATAAGCCTTGATTATGCTCATGACATGCTTACCGGTTTTTTTGTTTTGATAATAAGCCGCGATTTGAGAATAAGACGGTTTTGAAAATAAGCCCCCACTTTCTTACCAAAACTTAAAATAAGCCGCGGCTTATTTTCAAGGTTTTAAGGTATTTCAATATATTTCATACAATTTACCCAAGGCAAACTTACTTTGCACATTAACATTGATAAAGCCACTAGAGCTCCCAGCAGAGTTACTGATTGTACAAGAATATCTACCACTGTCTTCAACTTTGGCAAATTAAATCAAGTAGAGCTGACTTGTAGAAATCAAAGAAGTGTTGAAGCCATTATCTTTCATCCATCGGTGAGTAAAATTGTCATCTGGGTTGGCACTCTCAACATAGCAACTTATGAAAGTCAGCTTCTGTCCTGACACTATATTAACAATATTGCCAGGCATGAGGTGAACCTCTGATATATCTATAGGAATAATATAACCATATTTGTTACTCAGATATCACTATGCATACAAAGCAAAGAACAAGGTACGTTAAGCCCACTTATCGGCCAGTCTCTAAATTTGATTAAGATTTTTTACAGAAAAACCTCCGATGTGTCCTCTCAAAATCATTTCATTTTTTAAAATTATAACTTTTTTTCCGTCAGAGGTCTCTAAAAATGGAGAGTTGTCTTTAAAAATTGCAACTTCTGACGTGATAGCGTCATAACAGCGTTACTAATTTTAACGTTACGTAAAACGAAATATTTAGATTCTCTCTGAACCGAAAAATATTAACTTTAAACTCCCTTATGCCCCCTTCCCCTTAAAAAATTATAATGATTTAGCGAAATTATATTGTCCGATGAAGCAAAGCTTTCGACAAAAAATATTACTTTTTTCTTTCTTATAATACGCACATTAAGAAAACAAAATTATTTCGATCGTACAAAAAATGTAATGTATTTCTGGCATTACTTATTGCAGAATGTTGCTTTGAACATTTTTAGTTTACCAGTACAGCATAAAAGGTAAAATAACTTGAAGAAAGTATGAATACATATTTTCTATATAATTCAGAGATTAATTTGAATGATGTATTGAATGATAATATGTTTTTCGAGATTTTTTCACTTATTCAGGGACGTCACCATATACCGCGGTGAAGGGCTTCAGATTTACATCTATACTCAGCACTCAGGACCATTAAGCAGTGAGGGTTCTATATCCCTCCAACGCCTACCGTGACAGGTAGGAGATCTTGATTTTAAGGTCTCAGCCGAAGGACCCGTGACTTTCGCTTCTAATGCCTGGCGCTTTGCAAAGTATCAGTCAATACTAATTTTATGGTGCGGCGAAAGAGGGTCCAACCCAGGCCTACCGATTATGAACCGAACGTCCTACCACTAGAATACCGTGATCGGTCCAGAGATTAAAAGAAAAAACTCAAAAGAAAAGGAGAAAATATGGGAAAGAAACATTTGAATAAAAAGAGTAGCTTGAAACTTACAAAGAACATTCAGAAAAGTTTTAGTTGATTGCAACGGTAACTCTCCCACTATGTTTGAACTGCAATATACAACTTTGCCTTGATCTTTCCTTGTAAATGTTAATGTTAACGTGCTGGTAACGTCAAATTTTTTATCATTATGTGATACCACTGAATTATTCCAAGAAAAAGTCGTAGAATTAAAGTGCCACAAAATGTCTGCCACAGGCCTGGAACCAAAGGTTTTACACGTGAATGTAAAGATATTCCCTGACACAACATCTATTTTACGTGGTGTAGAAAGCGTGATTCTTTTGACAGGTACTACAAGAAATTCACCTTTATGGTAAATATACAATTTAATCATATATTGAAAATACATTGTATATATTTTTTTCTTTTTTTTCTCAGACGTATTCATTGTATATGTTTCTTTTTTAATGTAGATTTATATTGAATATTTTGCTTTTTTATATGTTAAGCATATTTTGTATATGTTGCAAATTTATGGTAAGCATATGTTATGAAAGTATTTCAGTATACATATTAATTTATGTTGCTCTTTTTAATTTATCGTAAACATATGTTTTTAACACATGTTAAACAGGCATTATATATATATATATATATATATATATATATATATATATATATATATATATATATATATATATATATATATATATATATATATTTATTTATTTATTTATTTATTTATTTATTTATTTATTTATTTATTTATCGTATATATTGTACCGTTTTATTTTAAGTGATCCATAATAATTATTATCTCACAGTAATTGCCTGGAAGAAGGAGAGTTAAAAACCATTTATTTTTAGCTATAAAATTGATTGTGGCAGCTGCATAGTTAAATACAGCTCTCCACCGGGATATTTTAAAGATACCTTTTCCCCTTTTCTGGATTTGTGTTAAACTGCATGTATTTTTTTTTCTACGACAGATATGTAGTACAGGTTAAATGGTTAGTTTAGAAAAATAATAATAAAAAAATGTAATGTTGCACATACAGATTAAATTTATACCAAGCAATGTTGCTGCTTTTTGGATTTTTTTTTTTTTTTTTTTTTTTTTTTTTTTTTTTTTTTTTTTTTTTTGAGCAGTGGCTCTTCCATCAATGAGACATACAATGACATACATATCAATAATACAATATTTGATTTATTTTTTTTTAAATCCTACTTTAGATGATTTTGTTTATGTAGAAATAAATATAAACAATAAAATGTCTTTCTTTGTTTATTAGTATGGAAATTTACGTCGCAGCTATTGCAGAAATAAAAATCCTTAACCCTCTTACGCGCGTTATGTATTTTTTTATTTTCTGCAAGAGCTGCAACGTTAATTCCCATACTAGCAAAGAAATGAAAACAGTTTTATTGTTTGAAACAATCTGTTCTTTCAATTGTTAACTGGAGTTTACCTTGCACAAAAATAGTTACATTGATGCTCATGAGTTGACCTCGACCCATATTTCTTTCACAGAAGATGACCTGGTTGTGAACAGGCAGTGAAATTGTCAAATTGAATATCCAGTTGTCAAAATCACATTCCAATATGTATCCTTGTAGAGGTTCAGACCGACAAATTCGTAAACTCCCTGTGCCAATGCCATATGTTTCTTTGCTTCCTTGATTTGAAGAATAGAATCTATATGTCCCCCCAGGTTCTGTTGATTTGCACGTCAGTACTAACGCCTCTCCTTCTCTCACTTCCGCGGGACCTAGTGTAAGCTGTCCTACAGCGTGTGATTCAAGCAAGAAATACACACTATATGCATGTACATGTTTAAAAAAGTAGTCTTTTAGAAAATCATGGAGTGGGTCTAAATGAAAAGCAAGTGCTTCAACATGGTACTTTATATTATCAATCGATTGTTTGCATGAAGTTTTACAACAGAGATAAGGTCCTAAACAGGGGATAAACAACTAACTTTACACTGCATTGGTACAAGTAAACTAGAAAATCTAAATCTCTGGCGAGGCAGTGTGTGATTCATATCTGTCATCTATGCCACCGGGCCTACCGTAAACCCGTTGGGACTCAAAGAAAAGGGTCTAACTCTGATAAGATACAAAAGTACCTTCTCACATCTAAAAAAAAAAAATCCGAAAAGGTCCTTTTAAAAAAGCGTTAACTGCAGGTCGCCTTATACAGTCCCTGAAACGTTCTACTTTCCCATTTTTCCGTTCGCTCACCGTTCGTTCACCGTTCGTTCAGCGTGCGTTCACCGTTCGTTCACCGTGCGTTCAGCGTTCGCTCTCCGTTCACAGTTTTGCGTTCACCGTTCACCGTGCGCTCGCGTTCACCGTTCACAAAGCGTTCAGCGTTCGCTCTTCGTTCCGTTCACTTTGCGTTCACCTTGCGTTCAGCGTTCACCTATCATTCAGTTTTCATTGTCATTCGGAACTCCGAAGTGAAAGGACTTATCTTTTTGTAGGGAATGAGTTACAGGTTTTTTAATTTAATAACTAACATATCGTGTTTGAAGAATCATTATTTCATGTTGAAAAATATCTACGATATATATTTTTATTATTCAAACTTAGCTGTTAGGTTATTTATTAAATTAATCTGGAAAATAAATGTTGTTATAAGCACATTCTGTACCTATGTAGAACGATGCTGAAATATTAAATATAACTAAGGGCAATGTGCAAGTACTTCAAGCACTGCAACATTTTGTTGTTTTGTTAAAGACGACAAATCGTTAATGGAGATATAATTATCCAAGTCAAATAATTACGCAGCAAAATTACGGAAATATTTATTTCTAACACTTTTTTTTTCAATTACTACAGAAAATATGATAGAAGTAGTTCTGGGAGTTATACATAGTATTCGCGGATATCGTGTTAATTTATTATCTTTGGAGCGAATTAAATTGATAGTGTGGTTAAAGGAAATATTTATTTTAAATGTAATGCACTACAGAATTTTCTCTACTATAATATGTAAAGTCTATCGTTATAGAGAAAAATATCTGTCTTAACCGTAACTTTATATGTTTGCCATTCGATATGATTAATACCCCTCCCCCCTTTTCCCCCTAAATCGGTTACTTATTCAGTATTGCACAGGGGCTTGCTCCCGGCGTGTAATAATTATTTATTTTAAAAAAAAAAAATCATATACGGTAATACTAAAACGTGATGTTTTAGTATTACCGTATATGATATTTTTTAATAAATAATTATTACACGCCGGGAGCAAGCCCCTGTGGTATTGTATTTCCAGAATATTTTAATTAACATTTTAAGAAAAAAGTTAAGGTCTTTTTTAGAACAAAAATTCAGTTTCAAAACAAACATGCATCAAAAAAAGTCACAAAACAATAGTAGTTCAAAATGTACACGTGTCGGCGGTGGAATTTGGAATTGGCAGAGAGAATGTTTCAAATTCAAGTGTTAATGCCCAATGTATTTTATTCAATTATTATTCAAATGTTGGAATCAAATCTAGAAATGATAAAAATAAATGTTATAACTTGTAGGAAATACTCGCACTTCGTCTTCGACGTGACGAAACTTTCACACCTGCACAGTGTCTAATGATTTTGATTGACAGGACAAGCACGTGGACTTCGTGTGAACTTGAAGCAGGAAAATAAAAACGAGTATGACTGTCAAACAAATGGATATGATTTGTTGATAAAAAAAAAGTTACTTTCACTGTCTGATATATTTAGAAAAAAATTTCAGAGTTTTTGTTTGATATAGGTACAAACATTTAGTGAAGCCTGAAATGGGGGGGGGGGGCTAAAACGGAATCTCTCTCTCTCTCTCTCTCTCTCTCTCTCTCTCTCTCTCTCTCATTTGTCTGTTTAATAAAAACAATAATAGCATATTACTTGAATATCAAGTTCTGAAAATTGAATTTATAACAAATGATATGAATATGTATCTTTGTATTATCTTGTCCTAGTATAATCACGGCCATCTACAGATAAATGAAGAAGTCTACTCAATAAACATGGCCGTAGGAACCTGGGGGGGGGGCAAGGGGGGCCGTGCCCCCTCCCCAATAATTTGCCGATATATAGATCATTATAGTAAACATAGACTATATGCTTGTGCCCCCCACAATAAAAAGTCTGATGACCTTTTTTTTTTTTTTTTTTGCTTGTCAGGAAATGTTTGGTAGTGCCCCCTCAACTATCAACTGAAAATGTATGGCTGTGCCCCCCCCCCCCCCCAAAAAAAAACGAATTTGCTTCCTACGGGCCTGAATAAATCATTTTGAAAAATAGAAATGACACATAATATATTATTGTATTAAAAATTTAAAATACGAGCGTATAAATGCAAAACGTCCACTGACCTTTGTTATTAATTTTTTTTTCATTACTTTACACGAAATCGCTTTAACACGGAGATATATGAATGGATGTTACAACCACTTTAATTCATTCTATAAGTCAGAAGTTTTCTCTGATTTGTTATCAAATAAGAATAAAAATTTTTATTTTCCAACTAAAAAAAATATCTCTTATACTTCAGCGTTCGGCAACAATTGCAATGTTTTAATGCAATAAAAATCGTGTGATTAAAACTTAATGTGCATGCATCGTCTTTCTCAGGACAATTTTGGAGAATTTATTTTATTGACTTATTTATTCATTCATTTATTGGTTTACTTATTTATTATTGATTGATTGATTTTTTTTTTGGCACCTGACATTATACAACAATAAAATAGTTTCAATGCAAGGGAAAGATCAGAGGCATTCCGAATATATCGTTCATCTTGCGTTCACCGTTCACTTTGCGTTCGCGTTTCGCTCCGTTCGAGTTCTGCGTTCGCTCACCGTTCACCGTTCACACATCGTTCACCAAGTTGCGTTCAGCGTTCACATATCGTTCGCTCAGCGTTCGTTCACCGTTCGTTCAGCGTTCGTTCACCGTTCGTTCAGCGTTCGCTCACCGTTCAGGTGGGAAAGTAGAACGTTTCAGGGACTGTATAAAGTCTTAACCTCATGCATGCCGAATTTCAAGTCACATGTTCGTAAAATAGCAAAAATATGTTGATGTTTTGATGTTAAATTCTAGCCTCAATGTTACAGGTTAGTCTAATAAAAGTAAAAAATTTCATTTTAAGAATTTTCATTCATAATTCATAATTAAGTTAGTTAAATAATGAACATGATGAATCCATTTATCATTTGCAGCACTTACCTGTACATTGAGAAAAATATAAAGTGATAATAGTAACAATAAACCTCGGCAAAACCATGGCAGACATAATGTTTTTTTTTTATATTTACAAAAGCTTCCTGGTATGAAGAACATGTATACACTTGGGGCTACTCTTATCAAGAGGATTTATTTTATATACTTTGCTCGATAAAAAACGGAAACTTTTCTGGGGCGGATACTGGATTTCAGTTACAGAAAGGGGGATTGACAGTAGCGTCTTACAATACTTGAATGTATACTTACATGTAAAATGAGTTTATTGAGAGTTTCTAAATTTTATGGAAGCTCATTTCTTAAATTCCAATATATCATATTTATATAGTAGTTCGCTTTTTCCCAGAATTTACAATCATGAGTATGGAAGCCGGGAACTTTAAACTCCGGGCTTAAGTTTTTACAAAATTAAAAAAAAAAAATCTGAGTCAAATTTAAATGTAAATCAAAGTAACTAAGATGAGTTTAGAGATTTCATATTAATAAAAGTATTAAAAAATATATACTTCGTATACTTATTTTTGACAGAACTGATTAAACTGTCGTATTTGGATTTTTCATATGTGTATATTTTGATTTGAATAAACAAAATGTCTTCTCTAGCTAGGGATATATACATGTATATATGTTTAAAATTGGTTCTATGGGACCAGCATTTAAAAATTCAAAGATGCTTCTTTTCTTTAGCATTAATATCTTCCCTTTCAAGAAGAACAACACTGCTTAAAGCTGGACGATGATTTGTTTTGTTTTTTTCTTTTCTTTTTTACCTTAGCTTGATCAAAACATTTCACATATAAAGTTTAAAATGTAAAGTATAAAATGTGAATTCGTCGCCCGCATGGCGCAGTGGTAGAGCGTCTGCTCTAGAGTCGTGGTGTAAGGAGTTGATCCTTACATCGCCGGTTCGAATCCCACTGTGGGACGTTTAGACCGATCCTTCGGATGAGACCGTATAAACCGAAGATCCGTGTAGGTGCTGGCACGAAAAAGATCCCTCACTGCTCAATGGCCCTAAGTGCCGAGCATAGGTCAAAATTTGCAGCTCTCCTTCGGCAAGTAGTGGCGTCTCCATAAGAGTGAAAAATTCTCGAGAGGGACGTTAAAAAACAAACAAACAAAACAAACAAAAAATGTGAATAAGTCGTGATGCTGTAGCCACTATGTAATTCACTTCTCTGTTTCCTGTGATTTTTTTTCTTATCTTAACTGTATACCAACATGGTGATGTCAATATATTGAATTGAAATAGGAGGAAAATTTTAAAACATCTTTGCAGCTTGATTTAAAAAAAAAAAGCAACACTGATATGACGGATAGCAATCAGCATTTTAAGATAAGACATCAAGTATTAATATTGTGAATCTATAAATCAATATTAGATCTTCTAGATCTGCACAGAGTGTATACGGCGCTGATATAAGATCTAATTTCAATTAGATTGCAGATATATTTTATTAAGTTTTCTAAAGATACAAAATTATCAATATAGACACTTTCTCCTATATTAAGAGTATTACATGAAGCCTAGGTACCAAATACTCAGTATCTGCATGTACCTATATATTTAAATTAATTATAAACATTTCGTGAAACTTGATTACCTTGCCTACTTGTCCGTTTTCCAGTAAGGGTAGTAGCATATCACTTAAAATGGAATACTCAATACCTCGAAAACATATAATCCGTTTAAATGTTAAATAGTACAGTTAGACTTCGCTATCTCAAACACCGATATCTGGAATACCATGGATATGTCCTCACAACTTCTTTCAGAAGTATTTTCCCCTCGATATCTCGAATCCTCGGATATCAAAGTTTTTTTTTTTTTTTTTTTTGTCCTATCAAGTTCGAGATGACGAAATTTTACTATAGTTTGGTTTAATAGAGGACTTGAGATCTATATAAATGACGTACCTAGAGCCCACAATTCTACAGCTCGACTCTTAGCTGATGACATCATAGCTTAGATAAACGACTGCAAACTACTGCAGGAGGATCTTAAAAAATTGGGGTGAGGGGATCAGAAAATGGAATTCCAACCTGACAAATGTACTGTACTCAAAACATCTTTAAAAAAAGGGAAAAAACAATTTTCTATAACTTCACTCTATAGCTACACAACAACATCCTGGCTCATGAAACATCAACAAAATACTTCTGCTGCAAAAATGACAACTAATCTTAACAACACATGTACTAAAACCAACAAAACACTTGGATTTCTAAGACGCAACGAAAACATCTCATCTCGTAACATCAAAAAGAAGGCGTACAAATCTATGGCCACAGTTAGAATACTCAGCAACTATATGAGACCCATACCAACAGGGACATACAAATTAATTTTATTTAAAAAAAATACAGATAAGAGCAGTTATATATGTGACTGACTATTACAGAAACAAATCCTTTGTATAAGAACTGATAGATCAACTAGAATGGCCAAGTTTAAAACAACGCAGAAGGGAAGCAAGACTGGCGATGGTATATGAGATCACTTCCAATAATGTAGCTATATAAAGAGCAGCATGACTAATTTGAACGACGAAAAAGACAATGAGACACTGCACTTACAACAATATGCCGTTCATTCTTTATTAATACAGTGAGAATTAAACTGGGACGCATATCCACCAGATATAGCCACCTCCAAATAATTTTTAATCTGATGTGAACAAGCTGTTCAATTAAACCAATCCATTAATTGGCAATCCTCGGCTGACTTCGCTGCGCTCCATACAAATCTTGAATGTGATTGGTGGAGGAATATGCATTAAATCGATGCATTTCTCTGACGGAACTGCCTTTTAACTCATTTCATATTTCGCACTGCATAAAGTTCACCAAAAGAGTAGTTTCCTAAATTGTCTAATTATTCCTTGTGTATTTATTTTGATTACAACATTCTGTTAATAGTCTTTAAAAGCAGAAACATATTGTTGGGAGTGCCACAAAGTATCTCAGATTTCTAGGATATAATATTTGGAGGAAATTCGGATTAGATCACATGATTGTATAAGCAAAATAGTAGAACACCGTTCAAGTCCGAGGTTAGTGTGCGAGGCACGAGCCACCCAAGGCGCTCCGAGTGCCAATCCATACCGAGTTTTAACTAGGTTTTAATCCTTGAATAACATGACAATTCTAACACATATGCTAACACAAACTGGCAGTTTATTCCTCACAATGGAGGAGGCAGCGTTTGGAAGAGGAAGAAGTTTGTAAGATATTAATAGTTTTATATCTAAAAGATCATAGAGCATGACAGATAGATATGCAACGTATTTTTTTACGTTGCAGGTTCTTCGGGTCACTTCTGGTACTTTTCAAAAGTCACATCTGTATCTTACGATTTGATAATTTTTACTGTACATGCATTTATGACATCAGTATATTTAAAAAAATTAATGTCTTTGTGTTGTTATTGGATTCGTGACTTAGTATAATACTTATAGTTAAGTATTTCTTCTTCTTGTGGCATGGCATGTCATTGAACATAAATTCAACAGTACATTAATATCTTCATTTCGTTTATCCCACATGGAAGCATATTACATATTACAGTGCACATGTACCGAAAATGCACTTGGAGGCCTCCCCAGATTTTGGCTTGATTTTCCAAGATTTGGGCTGCTGTCACACCCATACAGCCCATCCCAGACCCGAGCGAGCGGGAAAAAACTCTCAGTATTCTGTAGATCAATGCATGTCCTAATGAAAATTCACCAAGTGATCTGGGGCCATCCACCTTCCCTCTGAGATACACACCTTCTTCTAAACCCCACTGCATTTCAGCTGAATTTCCTCTGCAACTGACCACCTGTCTTAGTTTCGCATTTACAACTTTCTATATGCTAAGCATCATAGTGACCCCTGTTGCACATTATTTTTCTCAGCAAGCACTCTGCTACACTGCACAAGTATACCATAATTATTCTATTCATTTTTCTACATAAAATGTCACATCAAACAGGGGATAGCTCTGTTTATTTAAGAATTTGACCGGTACTATAGTATGAAACTATCCCTTGCCACCTTGGACTCTCTCTTAGTATAGGAGTAGAGTTAGTGTTGATGAATAGTTATTATGTGTTATGTTAATGTAATGTTAAAGTCACCAAAAGAAATTCATAAAGCATTTGTATGTCAACAACACTGTAATAGTTATAACACTTTGTTAATGACCCATACATACAAAGGTTCTGGTCGAATGTAAATGAGTATAAATTTGGCTTTAACGTTATGCAAAGCAAAAATAAAAGATATTTTAAAACTCGTCTTTTATAACTGGATTATATAAATTTCAAATATAAGACGTTATATTTACGATAAAATATATTTCATTGCTTCACATTCATCATTTGTCCAATCATCTTTTCTTGTCAAGTCCAGTTATCGTTCTTAGTACAAGTTATCGTGTCCTTACGACAGGAATAGTAAATTAAACCTTCCGGTTTAAAAGCTAACGAGGAAAGAGATATCGCAAATGACATAATCAGTGTAATTTTTGAAGACGTTTCTATAGGTGAGCGTGAGAGCCAACCCTCGGGCAAATTTAATGGTGTTTATGCACATTATTAAACTAAAGAATTGACCGAAAAATAAGTTTTACACTCAGTTATTAAGAATATCGTGAAAATTTGACGTCCTAGTCAATGATGCCGTATTCGACTTAATTACCATAGACTATTTCCAGACCTGTCACGCTATTATTTTTTTCAATATTTTCTATTTTAAGTTTTAGTATGTTCTTTCCCAAATGTAAAAACTGGGTCTTGTCCAGATCTCTTAATTTCATAATGTGCAAAAAATCATACATTTTGTAGAACTGTCTTTAAAATTTTCATCGAAAGAGTTTTAGTCATAGATCTGCGATATTTCTGCGATATTTAAGCATAAATTTTTACTATTTAAAATACCTGCTGTAAGAAAAAGACAACTCGTGCACAGAACGTTAACAGGAGTTTACGAGAAGAGTGAATATTCTTTTTATAAAAGACTTACTTTTTTCACTCTGAAAGACTCTTAAAGATCAAGGTCTAGAACTTTATTTTATACTGTCTTTTTTGGTGCTAAATTTATATCCACTTTGATGTCATAATTAATTTAAACTTATTTTTTACCGTATTCTACTCCTAATATTAAATTTGGTAGAAAATGTAGTTCCCTTTATGATATCTTTCAATTTGAAATGATTTTAAATTCATTTGACCAAAACACAATTTAAACTCGTAAATAAACATACTAAAACATACAGTAGACGATATTGAAAATAAAACACTTGACCATTCTTTGTATATTGTGATTATGCATCAGTGATTAAGGCATTAAATTTTCACATTATTCTTAATTAAAGAGTGTAACATTTTAAAATGATTTAAAATTGAGTATAGGTATCCGGCTTACATTCATTTTCTCGTAATTCCGATACCTATACTGAATTTAATATTTTAAAGAAAAGCTCAAGAACATATAAATCATATAAATTATTGTTTTGGGGGGACAATAGGCATCTGGATACATTTTCTTCAGTAAGATATGTGGAAAAATCCATAATATTGTTCTGTTTGTTTTACTTTTCATCGAAAATGATAGTTGAACATGTTTTGTCCTTGTGTTTACCTAAAAATCATGTCTCAATGCACCGTTTTTCACTAAGCTATAATTGATAAAAAGAATCATTAAATAAAAATCATTCGTAAGATTTTAGAGACCTGATGGCACTTTTCCTTTACTTGAACCTTACCTTAATTCTAATATGTTCCGTGTTCTTATGCTTCCAGTTACAGGATTGATCACTTTAATCTCATATTAGCAGTAAAAAATCATAGAACAATATAATCAGAATGAAAAGCAAAGACAAAGGCATCCAACATTTAATTTAAATGAACAAGAAAATCAACAGTGCAGTCAAGCAAGAAAAGTTCAAGCATTGCTTTTTAAAGCACTGAGTGACTGGTCAGTTGTCTGAAAAAACATAATATATACATTCATATATATACTTCAACATTTAAAGCTTAAAATTGCTTATAATAAAACATGACCAAATACAAATGTACGTTAACATCCAAGGATTTTTTGTTGAAAAATGAATACCGAGCTCGAATGGGGAACTTATTATAATTTTTAAAAAATATATATATATACAGTTGAACTTCGGTATCTCGAACACCAATATCTCGAATACCATGGCTATGTCGAAGTGATTTGGAAATCCCAACAGTTAATTCTTTAAGAATTTTACCCTCGATATCTCGAATCCTCTAATATCTCGATTTTTTTTCTTGGCCTTTTCGAGTTCAAGATGACGAGGTTTGTATATGGATGAGGTAATTTACCATTCCTTATAAGTATGCCGTAGTTCATGTATTCTTTATGTCGATAAACTGTTCAGATTATTTAAAAAGTTTGAATTTCCTTCAGTCATGCTACTTAATGTTAGAGTACATCCCACCTGAAATAACAAAAAAAAAATATTGACATCAAATTTGATGTTTCTTCTAGTACTAAAATATCTTCTTTTTCATACATCTGTCATTAAAAGGTTAGAGAGAAGGCTTATGTCGGCTATACCTGCTGCCCATTCTTCATGCATTTGTGTGTTGATACATAAAGAAATACTTTTTAAATGAACAATAAGATCGTAATGTTTTTTTTTCTGTCAAGAATGTTGTTTATTAATACTCCGAAAATTTAAGTAGATTTGTACATAATTGAATCAAATTAATTGTTAATTAATTAACAATGCACGTGTAACCAATAAGAGTAACTTTGTTGATTTTTTTTTTTTTTTTTTTTTTTTTTTTTTTTTTTTTTTTTTTTTTTGCTGACATATGGAAATTTCCAGATGGGTAATTAATACCAATCTCGCCTAGTATTCTCAGATAAATAAAATCCCGGGTATGACTTCATATTTTTTGTGTTAAAATTGTGTATAATAAACAGAGTTTTTTTTAAATATTAATTTTTGTTAAAAGAGTAAAGAATAGTAATGAGAAAATTATTTTCTTTAATTGGGCCTCTGTCTATCACTGATTGTCCTATATAATATTTACAACTGTACCTATATCTAAAAGACCTTGATAATCCAACTGGTAGTATTGAGTGGAACTGCGAAAAGCTGGCAGTGCGTATTATGATTTTTTAATTTGGAAAACTTTGAAAGGGCTAAGGAAGGGAAATTTAGTCAGGCTATGTTTCAGAAAACATTAGTGCAATGTCCTATATACGAGTGCAAAGGATTTTAAGTTAAGATAATTTTTCTTGTTTACCTATATAATTTCAGCAAAATGTTTATGTAACAAAACGTACCCGTATCCTTTGCTTTGAATGTGTCTTGTTCTTCTTGTAAACATGGCGGTGTTAACTCCATATATTCAGATCTATAACACCATGATTTTAATTATAATATATAATTATATATTAGCCACTTTATGTAAAACAAAGTGTCATCAAATTATCATATTTTACTTATTTTTTTTTTACCTTTTAACTTCCTCGTCGCGTTCTGTAAATAAAGAAAATACAAATGACTTAATCAATCAATTATGAAAACTAATTTGCATATAATATGATCTGTCTTCTTAATGTAATATTAAAGTTTTCTCTTTACCTTCAATCTTTTCGTAAGCCTCTTTGTTCACCGTTTCTAAAAATAAAATTTCAAATATATAAGCAAATTCAAGTTTACATTGCGAATGATACTTTACACCTAAAACTACCCGTCGAACGAATGATTATTTTCTGCCTGGTCATATAAAATAATCGACAAAACGTCACGACCTAATGTTCTAAAGGATTTTCCTTTTAAATACTGGTTAGAAAATCAAAGGTTATCTTTACTGATGTTGGTGGAACTTTGCTGCAATTGATTAATGAAAGAATTGTTTTGGTATTACTTTGCTGATATTGTTTTAATATTTATACAATTATGTTTGCTATTATATAGGTAGTAGTATACCCGTTGCCATGGCCGATAGTGTAGAGGATTAGTAAATATTACCTTTGCTGATATATGTAGAAAATTCTTAAAGCTCATATTTGCTGATTTAGAAAATTGAAGGAGGTTATTTTCCTAATGTTTTTAAAAAAATTATAGAAATTGTATCTATGCTTCAGTGTATGTAGAAAATTGATCGCTGTTACCTTTGTTGATATTGGTAGAAAATCCTTGATAATGGTGGTCTTCACTGGATAAAGTTTGATCAACGTATGTGCCGGCATGTGGTCTTTTTTTAAAACAGAAGACGTACGTACAAGCGAAATTGTATATATTAAGAATATAGATTTTCTTTGCATTTCATAAAATGATAAGACATTTATCTTATTTTGATTACATATTAGTAATTTCTTCCTTGATATGATAATTACAAACAATAAATCAAATTTACCTGCTAGTAGTATCACCATTGCCTAAAATGGATCTAAATGTTACTCACAGCATGTAGTTGTTAGTTTAGTTTGTTAAAAAAAACTCTATTCTTACTACATCCACTATTTACAGCAAACAAATCAATTGCTGAGACTTAATTCATATTATATCGCAAAATGTGATCGTCGTTATTTCAATCCTTGATGAGAAACAATATACAAACTTTTATTTATCCATCCTTTCCTGACTTTGTGAAGTGTGATAACACCAAGAATCAGAATAATTATAAATATAAAGCCTCCCGTTGTGCCTCCAATGATCGGTTCTATTTCACAGCTTTCTCTTCTTTCTATAATGTTTCAAGTCCATAATACCAATTCTTATCCTTTTGCAACGAAGTTGGAAGGGATATAGTAACGCGTTTGTGTGTTTGTGCGTAACGAAATCATTTATATCGGGATAGAGATGCCCTTGTTATACAACGCCGATTATTGGTATTATTTTTATATACTTTGTTTGAATGTGTAACATTTGATCACTTTTACCATTTGATAAGTTGGGCTGTTTACTTGTATCATTTGTTTTACTAATACTAGGCTGATTATAAGTACTTGTATTATGTATATAACCAAATTCCCATTACCATTTGCTATATTATGTTGCTAATATCAAGTTGTTTTCTTGTTTCATTTCTTAAAGTAAGTCGAGATACCATTTCTTCTACCAGGGTAATAACTTGTACCATTTGTTAAATAAAGTTGCCCCATTTTTTATTCAGTAATCGTCTGTATCTTCACATGAAATATGTGAAGATAACGAACAGTATTTGAGCTCAAAAGTCCATGAAACATTACAAAAGAGGAGCAGAGCAAAATACATGTCATATTTCACGATTTTCTATTTTTGTACATTTCACGGTAATTTTAATTCCGCGGTCGCTGAATTTCTCCTTATTAAATATACGTATTTGATATTTTAAAAATCATTCTTAGAAAAACAGAAAAGTAATGGTAAATTACTTATGACAAACATTCCAGAAATTTATGTGTTTCCCCGTGTTTTTCAGAGCTTCACTATTTAGGAAATAAGGATTGGACTGTGAATGACACATATTTGTTCTTTGAGTGCTACATTAATATGTGGACAATATTCTTGATGGTTTGGTATTAGTGGAAAAATCTTTGATCGTGAACATAGTGAAATTAAAACCAACTTAATATATTCCAGTTTTACAGTATTATGTTGCTAACTACTTACAATTTGCAGTACTACGCTGTTTACATGTACCATTTGTTATTCTTTGTTAGTAGCTTAAACCATTCCTTATACTAAATGTATGTTTATTACTTGTACCTTTTACCAAACTATGTTGTAAGCATTATTTAGAAAATAAATCAACAAAAGATACCTGCTTGTGCACCTACGTCGGTTGAACACTTTTCAGGTTTTGAGAAAGTGATACCATAAATGTTAGATGCCTGGATTCTAAATGTGTATTCTGTTCCAGGCACCAGATTCATAGCTTTGTAGATATTAATTTCAGGCTTTTCATTCATCAACTCAGATGTTGCATTTTCAAATACGTTATCCACTTTGCTGAGCTGCAAAATTTGTTTTCCTTTTATACCAAGATAAGATGATGTCAATGAAATGTACGCAGATCTAGTTTTACACACGACCTGTATAATTGGCGGAGGAACGGGTTTTTCTGAAATCCATAAACAAAGTACTTTTAAACAATGATAAATAGATATAAATCATTTTTTGTGAGAAGCATACGTTAAACAGTCGACATTTCTCCATTACAAATTTATGATTAGGTCAAGATTATTGATTCAAGTAAATATGATCCCGACTTGTCGGTATGACTTTAAAACAGTACTGATTTTTCACCTTACTAGAATACGCAACAATATTGTCAAGAAAGAAATTAACTCCCTACTTTTTTTTTGAAGGCATATAAAATGATTTCATATTCATTTACAATACTCTGATGAACCCATATAAACATTTTGTCAAAATTGTTACCGTACCATCTGATAGATTACCAGTAATGTTCCACGCCATATTAAAACATATTGATGAGTAGGATAAAAGCTCGTTTGTAAAAAGGAGCCCAATTCTAGCAAAATATCTCATCAATATTTACGAAATATCTAACAGCTTTAAATGCATGTTTCTAGCTTGTAAGATTTCATATTTTCTTAGAAAATTTATCCTTCAAAATTTTGTAAATAGATAAAGGATAAATGTTTTTGAGTAATAATAGTACCATTAAGGAGGGCTAATTCTAAGTTATTATCTTTCCTAATATCACATATTTGGTGAAAAAGTAAACTACCATAGCTTTATCACAAATACATTTATCATGATTCATTAATAAGAATATATATATATATATATATATATATATATATATATATATATATATATATATATATATATATATATATATATATATATATATATATATATATATATATATATTAAATAAATATAAAAAGAAAACACAAGAATTCTCCGTAAAGCTTTAGCGCTTTCATTAAAAATCTTCATGTAAAGCTTCTGAAGATTTTTAATGAAAGCGCTAAAGCTTTACGGAGAATTCTTGTGTTTTCTTTTTATATTTATTTAATATTGTAATCCGATTACTGAGACTTTATTTCAATTTTGGATATATATATATATATATATATATATATATATATATATATATATATATATATATATATATATATATATATATATATATATATATATATATATATATATATATATATATATATATATATATAGGTTAAACTTACTTTGCACGTTAACGTTAATGAAACCACTAGAGTTCCCTGCGGAGTTACTGACTGTACAGGAATATCTACCACTATCTTCAACTTTGGCAAATTTAATCAAGTAGAATTGAGTTGTAGAAATCAAAGAAGTGTTGTAGCCATTATCTTTCATCCATCTGTAGGTAAGATTGACCTCTGGGTTGGCACTCTCAACATAGCAACTTATCAAAGTCAGCTTCTGCCCAGATACTATAGTAAGGATATTGCCAGGCATGATCTGAACATCTGATATATCTAAATGGATAATGCATTTTTATAATAATGCAATTTAGATATCACTCGGCATATTGTAACATTCAAAACAGCCTTTTTTTCTCTTGATTAAGTGAGATTGTCTAGGTAAGAGAAAGAAAATTTCGTCACAGAAAGATAGGTCTTTTAATGCAAATATGGAATGAGGAAAAAATCCTTTTTGATCATGGAAAATTAATTTGAATTAACTATTGGGCATAATAAAGGGGAAAAACCGTCTAAATAGAAATTTAGTACATCATGCTTACAAAGAACATTCAGAAAAGTTTTCGTTGATTGCAATGGTATCTCTCCAACTATGTTGGAACTGCAATATACATCCTTATCCTGGTCTTTCCTTGTAAATGTTAGTGTTAAAGTGCTGGTAACGTCAAATTTAAGTCCATTTCCTAATACCAATGTATTATTCCCAGCAAGAGTCGTAGTGTTTAAGTGCCACAAAATGTTTGCTGCAGGTCTGGAAGCAAATGTTTTACACGTAAAGGTATAGCTATTCCCTGACACAACATCTATTGTTGATGGTGTAGACAGTGTAATTCGTTTGACAGGCACTACAAACGATCCATTTGTATGTTACATGTAAATATACAGTCTAAACATACTATATATATAGTATTTTAAACATACAGTGTATATGTTATTACTACAATATACAATGTTGCCCTTTATATATATTGAGCGCGCAATGTATATGATGCTCTTTTTATGTTTGAAAATATACAATTATTATATATTTTGCGCTTTCTATGTTTATCATATATTTAAAACATACATGTATATGGTGTTGTGTATGTTATGCCATATGTTGAACATATGTTTAAACATATATTGTACGTTTTGCTCATTTTGTATGCTAATTACATTTTAAAGATATGTTAAAACATATTTTACTCGTTTAACTGTCAACTGAAGACTCGGTACTTTCTTGGATGACGTATTGTTTATTCTCTAAAAGTCTGTACTGTTTAATTTCTTTAGTGCTGTTATTTGATTATTAAATTAAGGTTACAAAAACAGACCCAATAGAAATTCACTTGGAGAAAAGAGAGCTAAATGATCTTGTGATTTGCAACTACAGTTTTAGCCATGAAATGGATTCTGACACAGCTACACAGCTAATTCCCATTCTCTGGATTTGTGACTTGCTTTTTTTCTCCGACATACCTGTATTGTTTGTATATTGCAGAGTTAAGTGTGAGAATCATGCCATAATCATTGCCGCGGTGTTACATCAAACTGATATAAAGCGATATCGCTGATTTTGGCATTTTCTTTTTTTAAAACTTGTATTGTTTCAACAACATTAATGTTCATTTCAAGTTTCAAAAGCAACAATCTACACTAATTTTTACTGCTTTTGCTTCGACAATATGTTACAGTCTGATCCATAAAGACCATTTAATTTATCACCTTTAGAAATGATAACTGATTGTGGAAAGAATTACAGCTTCATGCAATTCCATTTAACTTTTGCACTGGTGTAAAAATTGCTCTTTAATCATTGATGTTGAAGAATCTTTTCGAAATTGCTTTAAAAATACTTTTTTAACATACCTTATCTAAAAAAAAATGGGAAAGTTCATGTAATCAATCTGTTCCTACAATAGATTTTTGAAATTTACCTTGCACAAAGATAGTTTTATTGATGCTTTTGATATCATCTCGACCTGTATTTCTGTTACAGAAGATGATCTGGTTGTGAACAGGATTTAGAATTGTCAGATTGAATATCCAGTTGTCAAAATCGCATTCCATTATATATTCAGGTACATTTCTAGTCTCACAATGCTTGAAACTCCCCGTACCAACACCGTACATTTCGTAATTCTGATTTTTCAGGGAGTAAAACACATATGTCCCACGAGGTTCTGTTGAGTGGCATGTTAATACTAAGGCCTCTCCTTCTCTCACTTCAGCCGAACTTAGTGTAAGTTTACCTACGATACATAATTCAATCAAACATAGCAGATACATATTTGATACATATATCTAATTGATTTATTCTTTGAACTCAAGTGGTATTAACATAGGAAAAACGTACAGCCATAGATCTTTTGTTGAAAGATACACAGATAAATTTGCAACTTACAAATAAAACGCTAATTGTAAGTACAAATTAATATTAATTATATTCTACGTCAAAAAGCTCCTTTGACATCGTCCATATTAATGAACATGTATAAGTACAATATTCATATGGAGAAATGATAACTGATAAGTCATTTAAGAAGAGGGACGGGGTGTATGTAAATGTAACATTTTTCACACCTATAATATTCCATATTCAGAAATGTAACCTATATTTAAAATTAAGCATTCTCATATTAGTGATTGAAAAAACATGAGACTACATTAAATAATTCTCATTGGTAAGTAAAGTGCACAATGAATCACTATATCATTATATTTGCCGTACTTACCCGCACATTGATAAAAACAAAAAATGATAACACTGAAAATAGAATTCAGTAACGCCTTGACAGCCATCTATAGTTATTTTTTAAATAAACTTCCTGGTATAAAAAAAAGTCGCTCGAATCAATGAAAAAATTGGATTTTTTTTTTATATTTAAAATATACATAATAATTTCCTTATTTAAAGTACAGAGTTTTTTTAATGTTGGTTTTAGCTACATGTACATATATAGATTAAATAACACAAAAGATGCTATAAAAGATTTACTTTTCTTATACTTATCTCGAGAACATAAGAACGAAAGACACTTTTCAGGGGGCTGAACCTGGGTTCACGGTTGGGGGGGGGACTTTTTAAAAGTTAAATAACAACAAAAAATCACTATTCTTGTTTTGGAAATGAATAAAATGGCATAAGTTTTTCATGACTTTCTAAAATTTAGGGAATTTCAAAGATAAAGGACTCAGGAATGCTCAAAAGCATCTCAAGCGATGATGTTTGGAGAAATTGTTCCGCGACTCATCTTTCAACTCACCAGTCACGAACACAGTCATGATATTGTCCAGGAGAAAAACAAATAGGTCAGAGGTGACATATCTCATTTGGATACAAAAGGCGAGAGTCAAAAATTGGAAGAAGGAGTAGTAAAATGATGATTATACATGACTTATAATGACTATTACATGTATTTTGGAAATCCCCTTAGATTTGGTTAATCGCAAAAGGAGAGAGGGTAGAGAAACAGTTGATAACTTTGGATTCATGATATCCACAAGTTGTCTTTCTTTTCATTAGTTCCAAATTTCCAAGAGAGAGAGAATGGGAGTTGGAAGTTTAATTGCATCCGTAATTTTTTTTCATTAGAAGCACCTTGTAAATGTGAAAAGATCCCACCATTAATTCATTTCGTTGTTGATAATTTATTCAAACTGGTACGATTTTATGCAATTATATTTGAAATGTGTTATTAGTTAAACTAATTGTGGATGTTTAATTGCAATTGAGGTGTGTTTGTTCGCTTGCTTGCTTTTTTTTTCTCACTGTATAAAAGCCTACCACTTTTGAAATAGATATACAATTAAATTATGTAAATCTTAATATCTTATACGTACATCAACTTAAAGAATTCAAGAGTTATATATAAAGTACATTAATCAACTGAATTTCTGTTTTAAAAAAACGCATGTGTTGACAAGCGTTTAAAAGATATTTAATTCATAAAGAAACCAAACAAAGATTAAGGACACCTTTTCAAAGTTTTTATTTATCACCCTTTGTATTTGTTACGACGACATCTTTAGTCTTTCATGATTTCGGCGATACAATTATCAAAAAGCCCGTCTTTTAAGGATGATAAAATTTAATGCCTGTTCTTTAAAACTCCATTCATCGCTATTACATAATAAAAATGACAGCTAACTGTAAACATTCCAGCATATCTCTCTGCCCGAATTACCTCGTTTAATCTCATAGCAAAAGTTCGTGGATACCGATATAAGTAAACAATGATAGACTCAAACTTCTCTGTGTGATTTTTTAATTAAAATGTATCGATACATTAACTTAACGTTTAATAATAAAGTCGCTTTTGTACTTTTAAAAGGGCAAAACATGTTTGTTTATCGTCTAAAAATAGATTCAATATTTCTCTCTTTTATGAGGCGAATAAACGTCGTTTTTCAATAGAGATTTTTATGTATGGGTCATATATTGAAAAATCCATTTAAACGGTTAAAGCCTACATACGGGTGTTGATATTCGTGGTTAAACAACCACAGTGACATTATCCCCAATGTTCAACAAAATCCGTGTTATCTCGTGGTTTTTCATGTGGACAATTTGACTCTTCATTCATTATTTGATTTTTTAACACAGACCCCCCTTTCACCCACCCTCCCTTTCTCATTGATTTTCAGGGGACTACATTCTAACACTTGTAAGGTAAGTTTATGAGGTTTATTAGTTTTTGAGATAGAATTGTGGATTCTTTATATGTCTTTCAAAATTTAATTCATGACACATTTATGCAGCAATATTTGTACCTCACAAAAAGATCAATATGGATAATGATTTTCTTATCATTAAATAACAAATGAAAGGTTTCGTAATTAAATGATTTAAATGTGCAAGTAACAGAATAATAATTCGCTTTATCCTGCATGTAATCGGATTACACGCATGCACACAGTTAAAGTCTTTCTTGCTTTAAATTACGTTTGAAATTCATTGTACATTCATCTTATTACAAGTGAAAGAGAAACACGTTAAGGGTATATATGCAATGAAAACAAAAGTTGAAAATGCAAAGAACGTTTAAGATATCTCTTTAATAATATATTTTAGGTGAATGTAGTTATCATGTTGTAAATTTTGAATTTACTAGGTGGAGGTAAATGCAAAATTTACAACATACAAAATTGTTTTATTTCTATAAAGAATGTCGTCAGAAAAGATTTTGTAAGTGTAACCTGATTTCTCTAGGATATGTACCAGGTCTTTGAAATGATTAATTAAATTTTCTATAAAATTTTAATTTTATGAAAGAATGAAATAGAAATTGAAGTCAAAATTTCTATAATAATTCTTAATAGTACAAATTTCTTTACTAAAAGGTTTTGAAATTACTAGCTGGAGGTAAATTCAAAATTTACAACATGGTAGCAGTGGTCAATATTCTTATGTAGAAATGCATTTGAGGAATTAAAAAGTACACTTTGATCTTTCAACTTTATCATGTTTTAATTAGATTAAATGATTTATATATTTAGGATTTACATAGGATACATGTCCCTTTCATTTATAAAAGAACTAATAGATCAAATAGAACAAAATGTGTTCGGACATTTAAATGGATACATGTATATTTGAACATGTAAGTAATTATAACATCGACGAAAGAAGGGGGTATTTAGGGTATATGGCAGTGCATCTGCAGGGGATAACTCAGCTCATTGATGCTTTATTTCATAGCTCAAGTGTCAAAGTGTTTCATTTCTTAGGATGGATTTTAATTGAAACGTTTCATCATCTTCATCATTTACTTAGTATCATCAACATATAAAACAAATACACATAACATTAACACGTAAATTTTACTGGCCATTAGGACAGAATTGCAGGTTTATTGTACCCCAACGCAGCAACTATTTCCCAAGGCACAGCCGAGGGAAATATTTGCTGTCTTAAGCTTGACTGGGGACAATAAACTTGCTATTGTCCAAATATTCTGTAAATAGGTTTTTTATTATACCTAATTTATCACGTCAATTTTCGGGTACAACTAGAGAAGTTCCGAGATGAAACGAGGGAAATCGAATGCTGCCGTTGAATAGTTCATCAACTATATTTCACCGTGGGCAATAGCACGAAAACTTTTTCACCGTATATGTTGTTTAGAAACAATAGCAGAGTTATTCGTCATATTTATATATAGAAAGAATACACAGAGGTATAAATGTATAATAAATGTTGTTTGAAGTAATAGTGTAGTTTTCCTCTCTCTTTGTTGCTCTCTCTCTCTCTCTCTCTCTCTCTCTCTCTCTCTCTGATGGAGAGAGTGTGACGTGAAGAAAATGAGGTTGGTAGGATGGGTTGAAAATTCAAAAAACGTCAGTTGTGTCCGCTTAACAAATACATGGAACGAATATGCACATAAATTTTCGCTAAAACACCCTTGACAGCAGTTAACAGCAATCCGGCCCTTTAAAATTCACGATGAACCGTAATAGTCTCCAAGTGCATCAACGGTAATACATTTTCTAGATAACGCTCTGGCCCTTTGAAATACTTATTGATCGAGGAGGTAAAAGTTTAGTGTGTTGCATCTTGGATTCTCTTCAGTTTTGTAAAACAATTGACTTTTGGATCATTGTAGAACTGTGAAACAGTTTCCAGGTTTGTGGTTTATCATTACCATTTCTTTTCGTAAGTACAAGGCAGGTATGCTTGAACAATTATTTAGTATATGACCGTACTTGCATCTCTCTCTCTCTCTCTCTCTTGTTTTTCCTGGTTTTTTTTTTTTTTTTTTTTTTTTTTTTTCCCGTGGCGCTGGATTTTCACAATTACATTCATGTCGTTCATATTAATTTTCAGAATTCCTTTAACGGTGTATATAAAATTCAGGGGGAGCAGCTATAGAGGGGGAGGGGTTTGAAAGAAATCCTATGCTTCAATTTCTAAAACCAAGGTAGTGGGGTGCATTACATGTATATACTTTATTCTTCTTATTTATGGTTTTGAAAATGGCATATTATTTTCCTTTAGGGAGGTGGGAGGGGAAAGAGAGGTCCTAACCACACATTGAACTATTATCCAGTACTTTGTTATTACGGTAAGATGAGTTTGTAAAACAAATTAAACCCAGATTGTTTGATATGTATTAGAAAAATGAATCAATATTACTGAATTTTCTGACTCTAAACACATTAAGTTTTCCCTGTTCAACAACCATTGATTTTCGTCTCTTGTACATCTAATCATGTGATGATGAGAGTTTTTCAATTATTCGCGTCACTAGGAATATTTTTATATAGTTTCATCAATTATGTAATCGGCGAGGCCATTAAGGTTACTCGAATAAAACATTCGATTGTAGAAAATCGCGCGGATCGATTGGAGTCCTCCGGCTTCGAATAATGTAGTACTATATATAATAGGACATTTTTTTTTCTTTCAAGAAAAATAAATTTATATCTTTTACTGATATTTTTATGGGTTTATTTTAATTTAGGAGAAACATTTGAAAATATTACTATCAGTTCTATGCTTTTATACTCCGTTTTGTCAGATATAAAGATAGCGCCGTGTATTTTTACAGCATAAATATTCATCACAAACCAATTCGAAATAAAAGATACTTTAAAATTTACATTAATTATTTATAGTCAACGTACAAAAAAAATGTCAATGCTCTTAATTTCAAAAAAAAAAAAAATGAAATCTTTATATGATATTTTTCATAGCACTTTTTTTTTCTTTCTATACACCTTAAAACTCCATCATCGAAAAAAGCATGATTTTCGCAAGTAACAAAACATCGATAAGGAAAATATTCATGACGCTTTTAAAGTTTCAATTCCCCAAACAAATTGCCATTTTCCCCATTCAATGAATCGTATAATCACATCTTCTATATATATCAAACGCGCCTGTATAAACAGCGGCATCAATTGTCCGTAACATGTTAGCGGGAAGTCGAGCGCGCCTTGTTTTCCATTAAGCGCTTGGTTTCATTATATTAAAATGTCACTTTTATTGTTGCTAAGCAAAGGTAAACAATATGTAGATTATGCGATATTTTTACCTGTACCGATCTGATGCGATTTGATAAGTGATATTCTGGGACGCTCAGTTCAAAGTATCAATATTAGAGATCACGAATTAATTCCCGCGATAAAATATTTGATTACATGTATTTCATTTGTAGTCCTTTTTATTTATAGAATCAACATTACAGATTGAAGTACACTACAATCTCTTTTTTCTATTTTTTTTAAAGAATATTTTTTTCCGTCCACCATGGTAAGGACCGACTACATATACCCCTCCCTCCCTCCAAAGAGTTAAAAACCGACGGAAATGCATTTCTATTTGCAGGGACAGCACTAAAATTCTATTTAGTTGGATTGAAATTTTTACACAATATGACGGTGTAATTTTTTTTCATCAGGTTTTAGCAATAAAATGATGTGTACAGGTCTAGACTTGACTTTGATTCTAGACTTGACTTTGATATAAACTTTAAGAACAAATACGGATTGTTCGTCAGTCTTAATTTTGTAAAGTAAAAATTCCAAATTGATATATTTCATTGATCCAAAGGTATGACAACTAGTACCCTAAACAAAATAAACAAAATCAATATAAAACCCAGAAAACTGCTAATTTTCTTACATGTATATTTGATCTGAAAGAGTGGCACGGTTTGTTTAATATCTTGATACGGAACCTTTATTCAGTAAATTGTTTGGGGGTGCCACATCCTCACTATCCGGAATTACTATTAAATAAAAATAAAATTGGGTTGAGGTGTCCCCTCCCTCTTGCTATAATTTTTTGGTGACGGAAGGTCGAGCAATTTCTCTCACCCCCCCCCCCTTCTTCTACCCTCATTTTCCACTTCGAAGCCATCATTAAATTTAAATCCAATTTTTTAGTCTACTGGTCATTTTTGTAGAATATGAAATAATATATACACGTAAACACATTCAGATAAGCTTAGCTTTTCCAGTAAAAACAAACGCAGAGAGAAAATATTCCCTATTTTAAAATAGATCCTGTAAAAATGGATTTTTTATCATTGAACATGCTTACATGATTTGGAAATTGCAGAATTATGCAAATCTACATAGATAAGGAAATTATGCAAATTACAGAATTATGCAAAAAACAATCATACAAGATAAACAATTATGCAAATTAAAAGGTATAGATTTACATTCAAACGCTATCAGTCAGATCCGCCTACACACAAATATATCCGGTAAGATCCTGATAAACGAGTATTTCATCGGAAAATGAAAAACTTCATTATTTGAATGACTTCCGGTGAAACCATCGATATAATGTCGTATAAAATATTCAGATTTAGATAATATTTGCCTTTTGATTTCCCTATTAGATCAATATGTTGCATCCACTGATGCAATTTGCTCACAGAGATAGTAAAAAAAAATGTAACTACATTGTGTTGTATTGCAACACTGACGAGTCTAGGAATTTTCGAGTTCGGATCGGAAATAGCTTTATGTATCTGCAGCCTCAATAAATTGCCATCAATAAATACGAATAGAAATATGGCATTTCTCCCCCCTCCTTTTTTTTTATTTATTTTTTACTCTTACAAAGATGCAAGTACATGTACATGTACATCTATTTGTAATCCAATACATGTATCTATAGTATACATTTACATGCCCGATTGATGTATGTAAACTATATATACACATGTATATATTGTAATTCTTTTACTATCTATCATGTACTCTCTGGCTTTGCAGTGTAAGGTAGACCATTAAAGTGTTTTAGGCAACCATGAAAAATCTACATGTAACCGTATTTTAAAATTTACATTCTTTATTTTTCAGTTAAGTTTGGGGTATGCCAGTCGAACGTAGACAGGTTGCTCATGGTGGACACGGTCGCCATGACCACGGGGGAGGTCATGGGTCAACAAAAACCACGAAGAGGCCATCTTCCTCCTCTAAAAGCCGAACTACTGTGATTCCGAAAGACAAAGAGAAAGAATCTATAGCAACGGTAAAGTCGGTTAACGAAGCGGCAGAGGAGTCCGGGGAAACAGAAAATGTCACAACGGAAGAAGTTCCGAATGGAGTTAAAACGGAAGACGAAAAAGCAGAATCGGAGGATAATATTGACGATACGAAAAACGGCGAAGAATCGGAATCTGTAAATGATGAACCGGATGTTCAGGAAAAAGATGATCAGGATCGATGGGCTGAAAAGTCAAAGGATGACGAGGGATTTAATATTCGTTCATTTAATGACAATATTTTGGAATTCACAGAAATATTTGATTCTGACCGGTATCGAAATGTGGACTCAAATTACCCAGTGGAGGATCTAATGGGTGTGGTCTCACAAATATCGAACACAATCGAAGAATTCAAACAGCAGACACAGAACAGCCAACAGCAGTTAGAGGGGTTGCGAATGAAAATGAAGCAAGTAAAGGAAAACATCCAATTCAGTGTGTCCCGAAAGGCGTTCGAAATAAGAACAGGTAATAAAAAATCCTCAAAGTTTCAAACATCGTACATATACAAATGTACAGTTGTCTGATGACTTACAAAATTACATAATTGAGACGAGTTAGTTAGCTTACGAGTTAGGAAGCAAATTGAAAGTGTGTGTGTGTGTGTGTGTGTGTGTTGGGGGGGGGGGGGGGGGCTAAACCAGCAAAAAACCTTTCGGGGAAGGGGGCTGAGCCTAAATTTCCAATGCCTATATTATGTCTATCTTTGCAAGAAAGAGGTTCCGACGCTTTTGCATTTGAGAGGAGTTAAAATGCTTCTTGAAGAGTTTTTGGTTAAAAACGTTTTTGAAATATATCTTGTTGTACCATATTTCTACTGTTTCGCCTTTTCTCGTGTGCATTTTGTTGATGTTTTTCAAGCATTCTTTGGTCACATCCTTTAAACAATGCTTTATAAGCTTGTTTTACATATGTATTTCAAAGTGTTTGGATTTCTATAACCACCATTTGCAAAATTAGATCCGCCACACTAACTCGTATATAAATATAAAGATCCGATACAATTTATCAAAACGCTTCAATTTTAAAAGTAGTTCAGAATAACATTATTAAGAAATATGGGTCACTACCAAAAAAAGGGTAAACGATGCCATTTAAACAAAGGAAGGGGGGAATATCGATTTATTTGTTTTGGCAAATCGTGTCAACACGCCCTACTTTGTTTACTTGTTTTGGGGGGTTGATATTTTTGTGTTCTGGTTCAAGGTGGACAATCTATTCTATTAGCCCGAATATTTACAGCGCAAATGTTGACCGACTTCCCTAAGCAAACATATGGGTATTTTGAACACTTATAGAGAGCATACATGGCGTTTAATACTCTTAATTGAATGTGTGCATTCCACTGGACTAACTTTATTGTTAATCAAATATTGACAGAAATCTGACATACTGGCAAACTTTTGTTATTTAACGATTTCAATATAATTTTTTTTTATTGATGAGTATATGGGTAAAAAAAAATCCATGTAAAATAAAAATAACGATCAAATAAACCGGAAAATTAAACTCATCTCAATTTTTTTTTTTTTTTTAATTTGATTTCATTTAATGACAGAGCGAGACGGTTTTTTTTTCTTCTGGTATTCAATTAACATTTTCAATGTATATTCCTCATATATGATGAGTTTGAGCTTTCGGCAATACTCATCAATTTTTTATTAGAAGGGGTCATCAAACATATTTGCCGAGATAAATTAAAAAAGTGCTTTTTAACAATATAAAAACCGCAAATGAATATTGCTCACGGCATTATTTCTACTTCTATAGAAATGGTGTGTGTATGCTTGATTTTGAACGAGGAACATGAAATCAAATTACATATGCATCGATATTTCTGTTAGCCTATTTTTTTTTAATTCTGAAGATATTCACATCAGCATGAAATCAGAAATATATGTACGGAAAGCACAAATATAAAAACATTGCAGATGTAGCATCAGACATCTTTAATAGAAAGTCAGAGAAAATCTAAACATAATATGATTGAGTAATATCATGTTGTAAATTTTGAATTTAGTAGGTGGAGATAAATGCAAAATTTATATGATTTGCATTTACCTCTACCTAGTAAATTAAAAAAAAATACAACATGGCAGCAATATCTTCGAAGAAAAAAATGTAAGTTTAAGTCTTCATTCCCTTCAGTTGAACAACCAGTTGTCCATGGGAAAATTGATTAGATACCTGAATTTGCTCTCTCAATTTTTGTTTTCATATAAAGTGAACTCGTCAATGAAAGAGGTTAGAACATTCTGAAACAAAACCATATTTAATTAATCAGCCATTTATGTAAGTATCATACGATTCCTTACTAGTCAATTCCGAATGGGGGGGGGGGGGGGGGCAATTAGAATTAAACAGAAAAACCACTCTTAGTACATGTAAGTATTTTAGCATTGTATTTTTAACATGAAAAACGAAACTACATGTACTATAACAACAAATAACTAAATTTTCGATGAAGACATAGAGAAAGTTGATATGATGATCGAGAGAGACAAGGGGGTACTAAGGAGGAGAGAAGGAGGGTGCGTAAATAATCAGAATAAAAGATATGTCGGGTTCAACAAAACTTGGGGGAAAAACAGTTAGATTATTTCACATTGCAGTAATGTACATATTCAAGTTTTTAATCTGTCATTGTTATACCCCCCCCCCTTCTGTTCAAACCCCTTGAAAATCTCCTAGTAACACTCTCTTGAGAAGCGACCATTTCTTCACCCCCCGCTCTACAGATAATACTTCTGGGTTACCAGTCCCTGAGCCTCGCTAAGCTGACGATAAAACAAGGTCGAGAAATCGGTCCTCTTTGGATCAGGAATCGTGGATTAATTTCCTATCTCACGTATCAGAAATGATAGATGATCGCGTTTTTTGAGATGAACACAACACTTGAAATCGTGTTTACACGGATTTTAAATAGGGTTTTGGTTACACAGAGTTTTTGTTTGTTTTGTTTTATTTGCACAAATGAACGTGCAGAACCGTTTTCCTATACCCGGAATATTTCTGGTTTTTTAGATTAGATGTATTTACGGATTTATTTCCAATACCCCCCCCCCTTCTCTAAATCATATTTTCGTCTTCCTTAATTTTTACCTCACCTTTTTTATTTTTTCATGATATTAAATATTCTCTGCTTAGCCACTTTTTTCTCTAACAATGTTGCATTGTTCTGGAAAATAGAGGTCTAATGTTAATTGTAGCGCTAAAGGACCCTTTCCCCTCTGTTCACTTTGCAATTTATGTATGTATTTTCATAACATGTCAAGTGTGCGTCATACATGTAGCACTGTAAAATAAAAAAATCACACAATTCGATGGAATAAAATATTATCAATCTTCTTCATATGATTTGTCCAGTCATCGAATTTTCTCATTAGTTTTTTTTTTTTCGTACAGTTAAACCAGTCTAATCCGAACACCACTGCCTGGTTCCATATGGTCGGATTAAACTACATTTTAGATTACACAATGTTAACATTTTAAACAATTGAATTTCCTAAAAAGGAACTTAAAGTATACATTGTATTAGAGAAGACGTCTAATACACAACATCCGAATTTGACCAGTTTCACTGTATATCATGTAAGTTCACTGTTGAGTGTTTACATCACTTGACATGACGTTTAATTAATTGAATTCAACTTCATCTATAGGATAATCATTTTAATCAAATTAAGGATTATTTTAATCAAATAAAGGATTATTCTATAGAAAGGCAGAGTGTTAGTGACTACAGAACTTTGCATAACAATTTATAATCGACAAACCAGGGATCATAACAAACATTTATTTTGGGCGCCATTGAATGATGACGTCAAATTTCACCTGAGAAATACCTCCGTTTTGTTTATCTTCTTTTTCTTCAAAAGTCCAAGGCAAACAATGGGGAGATTTTGATGGTTTCTGGTTTGTAATGTAAGTGGATACTGATAGGGGGTATAAATATTGATAGTGATCATAACGGGACTGTGTATACAGGCCCGTATACGTAGGAAGCATTTTCAGTTGGGGGGGGGGGGCAAAAACCAAACATTTTCAGGTTTTTGTAGGGGGGGGGGGCACTACCAAACAAAAATTCCTTGACAAGAAAAAAAGGTCATTAGACTTTATATTGACGGAGCACAAGCATAAGGTAGCTATGTTTTCTACAGTATACTATATACAGGTAAAATAATTGGAGGGGCACGACCCTCTTGTGCACCCCTCCCCCAGTTCCTAAGGTCATGGTATAAATGAGCGGATCTATGTACATGTATATATGACGCGGATCAAATGTGAGTAATTTTAAAAGGATCAACAGGATTTGCTGAGAATGTTAGGAAAGGATATGATAAAATTTTAGCCCAAAATTTAGGATAATGTTGCTCTATATAGATATATTGTCTGATGAATTAAATGAGATTTCGTCATTCAATGAATTAAATTCCACTTTAGAAATCAGATGAATCTATTTTTATAATAGTAGGTTAACTGCATTAACATCAAAAGACGTGACTTGGAATAAATGCCATATCTAAAGTGCTAAGAGGAGCAATTAGATGTTTATTTCTCGTTTGGTTTAATGTTTTGGGAAAAAAGCCTTTATTTCCTTTTCAAAAAGGAAACAAACCTTTTATGTCCAACACGCCACATTTAACTTAAAAACCCAGAGATTTAAAATCAAAAAGTTACGTGTTACAAGTAAGAACACTCTACACAAATAAAATATTTGTTGTGATATTAACTTCATAAATTTTGCCATTAGAGTTAACATTCGCACTCAAATATGGGCTTTTAAAAACGACCGTAAATTCAAAATTTTGAAGTGTTTTCTCGAAGATCTTAAATCATAATGCACTGCGCTCGTTCGACATCCATTATCGTTTAGAGATAGTTACACTATGTCGGTCAACTGGGCATCAAATATTTGTTTGACTTCGAACCCGATTACTTTATTGGATATTTAATTTTCATTTGTGTGAAATGTCGAACGTTGTTTATGCGGCGTAGTTTAAGACAATTGATTAAAATAGCGTAAATTGTAAGTAGTAAATTATTTATCATTTATTTAATACTTTTTTCCCAACTTATACGTACATCTTAGGTATTGCATTTAGTTGCTGTTTAGTTAGAGCTTATTTTTGTTGCTTAAAGTTTATCTGGAAATTTTTTTTGGTGGAAATATTTTTTTTGCTTTAATTTCTTTTCAGAGAGCGGGTTTGTTTCAAGTGTCTTAGACAAAACATTTTAATGTTAGTTTAAATAAATTAACTCCCTCTTTTTCTTCAACATCTACTTTTCAAGGAAATAAATGTACATATATGAATGTATTGAAGTACATCAATAGCAACTATAAAGTATAAATTAAATTTACTTAATTTACAATTTGTAGTGTCATGAATCATATAAATTTTTCATTTTATTTAACTGTGCATTTTTAATTTATCAAAAATCTTAAACCCCTTTCCTTCAATTTCCTTTAATTTGAAGAAATGCATATATTTTATCATCAAGTTGACTTCTTCTTTCATTAGCTCTTCTGAGCCAGAGGCTCAAAGAGCTAATGCTATGGCCATTTGTGCGGTGTGCGTAAACTTTTTAGAATATGGGCCATAACTCAAGAACCCCTTGGCCAATTATTGTCAAATTTGTCACAGGGTATCCTTGGCCCAAGGGCTCCTGTTTATACTAAAACTAGGGTTGTGACTCTTAAACAAGGGGAGATAATTAGGAAAATAGAAACAAAAGTACTGGTTGCTAAAAAAATCGTCCTCTCAAGAACCATTGGGCAGATTATCACCAAACTTACACAAAAGGAGGAGGATATGTTGTAGATTAAAAAATTGTTCAAGGCATCACCCTGGGGCAAAGGATGTGGTCTCAAGGTCACTTCAAAGTTGACCAAAAATTACATTTTATTAAAATGTTGATATTTTGTTTACTTTCAGGACTAGGATCATCAAATCTTGTCAATTAATGCATCTAAGGACCTCATATCATGTTGACTAAAAAGTAGGTCACGGTGACCTACTTTTTAAATTTTGCACCAGTCTTTTTCAAAATGATTTAGAGGCATATTTTGAACAATTTAAGGCCTATGATCATCAAAACTTGTCAGTTGATGTATCTTGGGTCTTCGGAGTACGTCAACTAAAAGTAGGTCACCTTGACCTACTTTTTGAATTTTATGGCTAATCTTTTTCAAAACAATTTAAGTCATTAATTCGAATACTCACAGGTTTAGAATCATTAAATCTTGTAAGATGATGCATCTTGGGGCCATTAAACGTATTAATTACAAAATAGGTCACAGTGACCTACTTTGAACTTTGCAGGCATTCGATTTCAAAGCATTTTTGAGGCATAATTTGGACACTTTAAGGCCTGTGATCATAAAACTTTGTAAGTTGATGCATCTTGGATCCTCGAAAAAAGTCAACTGAAAAATAGGTCACCGTAACCTACTTTTCAAAATTTATGGTTTTAATACAATATTTCAGGTACTATTTGGCTTAGAATCATCAAAATCTGTCAGTTCATGCATCTTTGGTCCTCAGAGTAGTTCGACTGAATATTAGGTCACCGTGACCTACTTTTCAATTTATATGATTATATTTAAATATTTCAGGTACTAATTGGCTTAGAATCATCAAACTTTGTCAGTTGATGCATCTTGGGTCTTTGGAGTATGACAACTGAAAAGTAGGTCACCATGACGTACTTTTCAGAATTTATGGCTTTAATTAAATATTTCAGATACTAATTGGCTTAGAATCATCAAATTTTGTCAGTTGATGCATCTTGAGTCCTTGGAGTACAACAACTGAAAAGTAGGTCACCATGACCTACTTTTGAAAATTTATGGCTTTGATTAAATATTTCAGGTACTAATTGGCTTAGAATCATCAAACTTTGTCAGTTGATGCATCTTGGGTCCTTGGAGTACGACAGCTGAAGAGAAGGTCACCATGACCTACTTTTGAAATTTTATGGTTATAATTTTAAAAATATTTTGGGTATTAATTGGCTTAGAATCATCAAACTTAGTTGATGCATCATTGGTCCTCAGAGAATGACAAGTGATAAATAGGTCACCATGACCTACTCTCAGGTACTAATTGGCTTAGAATCATCTTGGGTTCTCAGAGTGTTTCATCTAAAATGTAGGTCATGATGACCTACCTCTTGGAATTTCAAGGCTTTATCTAAATATACTGGATAATTAGAGGTTTCAAATAGAAGTGATATGTTGTACAGTTTATCAGAAGAGCGATTCAAGGCCATTGGGCCTCTTGTTTTTACACCGTTTTTTTTTTTTTTTCATCAGTTACAAAATAGAAACCCCCTGAACAACTGAATGTTTTGTATATTTAAAATTTGTTGTTTTGGTATGACTGAGTTCTTTTGGTGCTGAAGACAATTAAGATTCTGTTTCCTTTAAAATAATTAATTAAATTTTTTCCCATTGTAAACCAGGTAAACCAAACTATTTCTTAATAGACTGTAACTTTTATTTGTTCCATAGATGACGACCTACAGAGCGTAGAGGAAAGAGAACTGACGGAAAAACTAGCAAAACTAAACGCAGAAATTGCCAAAGCAAACTCGGATCTTTCAGAAGCCTTGCGGCTATCAGCTGAAACAGAAAGCACTGCAGTGAGAGCTCAAATCGCAGCAGAGAGGGCAAAGGAAGAGGCGAAACGAATAGAGGAAGAAGTAGAGTTGCGTGCGCAGTTAGAGGAAAGACGAAAACGAGAGGAAGCGAAAAAGATGGAGGAGCTTCGAAGGCAACAGGAAGCGGAAGCTCGAAGACAGGAAGAAGAAAAAAGAGCGAAAGAGGCAGAATGGAAAAAACGAGAAAATGCCGGAATTGAAAAGTCCGCTGTATGGGAAACTTGGCCTGCGCATGAGTAAGAATAGTGTTCATCAGATACATGTACATTTAATGTAGACGAAAGAAGGAAGTATACATGTATCTCTTACAGTTGTACTCTAAACTATTCCGTGAATAAGCTGCATCTTTTTATACAAAATATCATTTGGTATAATCTTTGCGTAGTTTCATATTTTTAAAGACTATACATGTACTTGCAGTATACCGTTGAGACATTCGATTCGTGTAAACCGTTGAATTTAAAGTAGGTAAGTGGGCACATGTATATATGAGGCAAACGTCAGATGGACTGGTGCTATGGGTGTAATCGATCCCCTTTCACAAAAATCTCGAAAATATTTGAAATAAATTTATTTTTCATATGTTTAAGTAAAGCTGCTACATTTCGTTCACTTAATTTTCGGAAAAAAAAGCCTTCCAGAATACCCCAGAACCAACAATTTGGTACTCTTTTATAAACTTTTTCTAGCTAGGAGAGGGAGTATCCCCCCACCCCTGCAAGACCTTCACTTTCCATAAACCCGATGATGACCCTGTAGATCTGCATGTTACCTTGGATGCGTATTAACAAAGTGTAATTACTAAATTAGAGTTGGGCATTTCAAAAAAATATATATACTGTCGAAATTAAGCAAAGGAGAAAAACGTACGAATTCTAAAGGTGAAGCACATGTATAGAATAAAGAAACTCTGCTTATAGTGAAAAAAAAGAGAGTAAGGAATATTCACTTTCATTTCAGAATGCAGCTCCCAGGGGATGGCGGACTGGCGTGTATTATCCGCGGAAAGCCAAACAGTTTCGATCAGTCGTCAGTTACTTGCAAGGAAGTTGACCAATTGGAGATCCACCTTACATACGGGCCTCAGGAAGAACTGGTGGGCAGTATCATTCAGTTAGTTCCCATCTCAGAACAGACGAAACTACAGGTAAATATTTTGATGCTAGGGAGTGCCAATGTTTTCATAGCAACAGTTTTGAGAATTTACGCCACATATTGATTCAAACTGAGGATAGAATTTTATTATCATTTCGCTGGATTTTTTATATTTGCTGGACTGGCTCGGCTTGCGTTGATTCAATCATCTCTTTGAAAAGTATAAATAGCAGCCTTTGTTTTTCCTCATTAATAAGCCATATTTAATTGCCCATATCTAATCATTACTGGCATACATTTATTTACATTAAATATACATGTATTTAACAGTACCTGCGAGAAGCTACATATCGTTGAGCGGATCTTTCAAAAAAGCGAGACATCTAGCGTCTACTCTATAGGTCATTCGTTATTTTGAAATAAAGTAAATAATGATGACAATTCATTGATTTTTTTTTAAAGAGAACATTATTCTAAGCACAGGATCATATATAATATATAACGATTACTAGAGTTAATTTAGTTCTACTTTCCAAATGCTGTCCAAATATTTTATCATGCTTCATACTAAGCAAACATATAAATGTCAATTTATTGCCGCAAAATAAATATTTTCTCATCAATGTTTTATCGATGAATGTCTCGTAAAAAATTTAAATCGCGTATGTCATAAAACGCGTTTTTTTAAAATAAATCCTTGGCATAAGATGACTTATCGACTATGAATGTTTATGAAAAGTCCGAAATAGAGTGCAACGGATAAAAACGGAACACGAGTTTCTCGTCGCTTAAACAACCTACTTGAGCATTGTTTATGACCCCTCTTGAGGATCTTTTGTTTATGTCCCCCACCGCTTAAAATGGGGTATTTAGGTTGTCGTGTTTCAAGTCGTGCTCTTGATCATGGAAGTATATTTGCGTTGTTAAAATGACATTATCCTGGAGTTTTTTTTACTCCAGACTCGTGTAATAAATCATCTAAAAGGAAAAGGGGTACCGAAATAATGATGTTTTATGTACTAAAACATTTGCTACACTTTTCTTAGATAGAATAATGATAATTTATACACTTTTGCATTCCACTAATTATTATGACGGTCAATGGTAATGTGCAAAATGTGTTGCAATGATCAATTTTTATTTTGAACATACACATGTATCTTATTGAAAAAATAAAAAAAAATAATGGGAAACTACTTATTACAACTTTCTAGTTCCTCTCCTTATACATAATACCATTTGTCATGCATATTAAGTAATAGAAAAATGTATATAAAAAAAATATTGTACTCGTATTTATAGTTTTAAAAAATACAGCGGAGCGTGGCAAGATTGCACTCTGCAACTTCGAGATTCAGTAAATATAGGAAGTTCTTTTTGTTGTAATTTATTATCATTAGGTTGTGTTCAACCTCGCTCTTTGAATACAATATGTTTTATCTAAAAAAAAAATATCAATAATTCATTTACAGAGCTCTTTGTACGTGGCCATTCCCTTCACACTCTCCCGCGCAAGCGTCCATTCTCGAGAGGCTTTTGTGAAAGCGGACATAAACGGAGAATGGAAAGAAATTCCGAGCACGGAAGTAACGTATGATAACCACAAGGTATTGTATTTTTAAAGTTGTACGGAAGTGACCTTTAACTGATATCATTTCAATATAGGAAATTTATCCATTTTCGCCATGATTCTCCCTTCACACCTTTTTTTTAACTTTGATTCTATAATGTATTTATAAATCATTAATACACGTATATGCAGAATTAAAAGTACATAATTATATATTTTTTATCATTCTTTTTCTCTAAATATCTAAATGGAGAGAAATATTATAAATAGGATATAATTTTGTATCTAAAAAGTATAAGGATATCTTCAACTTTGTAAATATCTGTAATTTAATGGTTGAATGATTTTCATACCATTTAATACCGGAAGTTTATTTTGAGTCCGCTTAACAGAAATCAAAAATTGCATGTTTAACAAAACATTTGGCAATAATATGGGGTTTTAAGAGTTTATATCTGTTCATCATAAGTAATGCAGCATTATTCCGAAAAATAAATTTTCCTTTCTTTTCCGTAAGCGATGCCAAGGTTTCCTGAAAAATGATTTAAGTACGCATTTTCATTGCTCTAGCTGGAAAATATCAGAATAAAGGTAATGGAGAGTTGCCGATGCAAATATGTATTACACCATGCCTCAACAGACTCTTAATTATCATTAGCATGAGTGACAGTCCCTGGACCGGAAGTCCAAGGGTTACTACACTGCGCTAGGCTAGAGAAAATTCGACCTCCTCATCTAAAAACAGGCATTTAAAAATGGCAAATAATGTTTCTTTGTTTCAGATCTCGAGATTGATGAACCTATTTCATCGTAGAAATCAATCTACAATTGTTGTGCATGGCAGCCTTGCACGCTGTAATTGAATGGCCGGGTGGGGCATGTTTTAACAGTCATGTCTTACTTTCTTAAGTTAAAAGACAATCCTTTAACATTTTTATCAAATCTCTGATGTTTTTTAAATCGAGTTTTACCTTACTGTATTCATTTTTGAAAATCATTAGATAAAAAAATTCAAATATTTGTAGATTACTGATTGTTGCGTTTCAGTATATAATTATTAACATTTGCTGTATTTTTTTTACTAAACCAAATGTCAAATTGAATTGAATGCCATTTTTGTGTATACTCACGCGTAGAAATATACACGGAGAAACTTGTGCTAAGGTGACCTCTCATTAAAGACGTTAACAAAAATATAACGATATAGGAAGAATTCAAACACTGAGTGTATTTTTTTGGTGCTTTCAAACATGTAAAATGGAAATATGAGGAATGTTTTTTTTTTAAGGTTTGTGTGAATTGTAGATGTGTAAATCACACAGACTTGCACGTAGGCATTTTTTTTTCATAAAGCGCTGGCGCACTTCATGAAATATGCCTACGTGACAAGTCTGTGTGATTTACACACCAATAACTCACACAAAATTTAAAAAAGAAATCCTTAATTACATATTTTGGGGAAGCAAATATCAAAATGTTTTGATTAAAATATCACGGTACATCGCCAAATGTGCCTCTTAAATTTTATATAAAAATTATCAAGTTAAATATTGAGAAAAATCACTGGAGACAAAAAAATCACACAAGGTTCTCATCTGTTTTAATTAAGAAAAAGCTTGGTAAAGAGGAACAACTCTTGCTATAGAATATAACAAAAATGTCTTACTTCTTATAACAGGACCGCCATCTTGTTATTGTTTATAAAAATGCAGGAATTTTGTGTAGGTCACCCTAATGGAAATAATTTATATGTAGCTGTCATATTTTAAATTTGCAATTTACCGGATAGAAGTAAATACAAAATTTATACGATTTTTTTTTCTTCATCAAGCGTACTACATATGTAGGAAATGAAAGGGTTTTTTTTCTCTCATACAGTATTGCATGAGTGGAGAAAATGTTCATTTACTAATCTTAAGACCGACCAAAACTAAAATTTTTACATGTATGTCAAAGTAGTCTATCCTATATTTTGATTATACGTCTCCTTTTTTCCCATTTTCCATGTTTATCAAGTGTATGTAATTATTAAAAAAAAAAAAAAAATTAAAAAAACCTTCTATTTAGTTTTGAAATCGCAATGTAGGTTTTTTTATGTACATGTATTCTGATTTCAAGAAACTTTTATTTATATTTTTTGTCTTTAGCGGAGAAGATAGATTATTGCTTAGTCATCTATGCTATGCACATTAAAACTTGCCGTGATTCTATATCTGCACGAGAAATAAAATATATTTTTAATTTGATCTTAAAGAAAAATCAACTGTTGAATGTAATTACATAGTATACAATCTATTTTTTAAGGATTTGAAATTTGTACAAGTTGAAATCAAAGAATTTTTTACGATGGCGGTGATGACGCGGCTGAAAAGAGATTACGTCACATTCTCAAGAAGACCTTCTAAGATGACCTCTTCGTGCGATCATCGAATCACAGTAACTGTTGCCAGGGAAACCTTCTCTAAAAAAGAACACATCTTACTTCAGGTAAAGGAACACAACAGTGTCAATACATTGTAAATATATTTATTTCTTAAGGACTATAAATTTAGAAACAATTAAAAAAGATTCGATCTTATTCTTCAATTAAAATTTTATTTAATTACAAAAAGAAAAAGGGAAAATAATAAAAAAAAAAACATGGTTCTTTGGGGGGGGGGGGGGTCACATTAATTCAAACAACTATGATTTCTTTTCTTTTTTTTTTTTTTTTCATTATTTACACAAACGCTGCACACGTACGTCGTATGGTCCGTATATCAAAAGCACGATTTAGTATTTTTCAAATTTTATAAATGCAGTGTCTTTAGTTACCATATTACAAGGATCCTAGAATCCTAGATTCATAAAATATTTTTGAAAAACAAATGAACAGGTCTGTTAATTTGTTTTTTTCAGAAATATTTTATGAAACTAGGAAACGAACATCACATAAATTAAATTTGACATAAACAAATGTTATAGGTACAGCCGGTTGATTCCGCTACGGTGAACGACCTTCAGACGAGGAACGTAAGCTGTAAACATCTCCTGGCCTCTAGTCCTATTGTACAGATGCAATGGGAATCAAATGAGTTCCACAAACCCATTGTTGTAAGTAGTAAAACAAATTTTCATATATTGTTTAACCATTTTGGGCCGCTGGTGGGGGTCGACGCATCTACCCATCAAAAAAAAAAAAATGAACACATTGACAATAAAGAAAAGGATGAGTTTTTAATTCTTTTTAATTTTTCTTTCTTTCTTTCTTTTTCTATCTTTCTTTTCTTTCTTTCTTTTATTCATTTATTTATTATTTTTTTTATTTTGCAATTTTGCAATCGCAACTCCTTCGGAAAAACAGTTGGTAAAAAGAAGATGCATTTGTAGAGATGTCTACAAAAACCGAGGCTATAAAAATTTTCAAAACTTTTCCAGGCCCCCGCATGGCGCAGTGGTTCTAGAGTCGCAGAGTAAGGAGATGGTCCTTACGTCGCTGATTCGTTTCCCACTGTGGGACCTGGAGACTGGTCCTTCGGATGAGACCGTATAAACTGAGGTCCCGTGTCGCAGTAGGTGCTGGCACGAAAAAGATTCCTCACTGCTCAATGGCCCTAAGTGCCGAGCATAGATCAAAATTTGCAGCTCTCCACCGGCAAGTGGGGGCGTCACCATATGAATGAAAAATTCTCGAGAGGGACGTTAAACAATAATCAAACAAACAAACATAAAAAAAAACTTTCCTGAATAGTCTCCAAATTTTTTTTTTAAGAAATACTCAATGCCTTCGTTATTAAGTTTTTGTAGGGAGGAGATCTCTCCTTTGACACATATTTTCGTTGTTTAATTTTCCCTATTACGAATAGCATGCACTGGATTTTCCACGATGGGGATTGGGTTGGGGGCTCCACTGACACACCTGTAATTCTTTGAAATATTTAAGTAAAATTTGGTCTTCAGAAATCAAGACCTGTTATTTTAGACTCAGATGAATCTTTAAAAAGTAATATCTTTGTTCGGATAAAAATATTTTACGTCCTCTGAATTTATTCTATTGTCAGAAATCATTTACTTTTCAATCTTTTCAATTGTAAATCACTTATACCTATTTCAGTCCATTGCAACCCGTCAAAAACTCCAATAAAATCTGAACATAATTCTCAGTCGAACTAATGACTGCAAATAATTAAATTGTTCTTTATTTTAATATGTTTTTCACAGATAACGTTACCTTGTCCGCCAAACCCCGCAAAGGCCCGAAAAATCGCACAAATGAGAAAAATAAAAGAGGAAAAAATGAAAAATCCACAGAAAAATATTCCGGTTCCGTTGGATGTTCGGGAAAAGGAGGAAAATCAAGGAAAACAAAAGAAGGCGAAACCCAAAAAGAAAACTCTACAGGAACAACTGGCGGAAATCAATGCTCCACCGGAAGAGGAAAAACCAAAACCCACAAAATGGTATATGGGAGACTATGCTCACAATGACGGTAAGTTTCCGAAAAAAAGGTGCGTGGATCATAAAAGCTGAAAGTCAGAGTTGAATAAATTAGATCAATCTGATTTTGTTAGTTTGTCCATTTCTGTTCTGCTTTTCATCTCTTTTAATTCACCAATATCTATCGAAGAATGCAGTTACCGTTTTGTTTTGTAATGATAATTTGTAAAGATTCTACATTTGCAAAATAAATGTATTATTTTCATGTAATGTTTATGCTATCTGTGAACTTCGTCGTAAAATACATCGCATCGTTGGTCGTAAAATGCAGCACATCATATTTTACTTTAATCATTGGTAAAATTAATTCTATTTTAAAGACGACGAACATGACCAGCTTTGTCTCCTTGCGAGGACCGGAACAGGAAAATGGTTTGTCGTACCGGAAGTGGAAATTGCACAAGTGAAGTTGGATTTGCTGCAGTTCTGTCTTGATAAACCTTTAGAACAGTATGTGCAATTATGAGTAAAAATGTTTCAAATGTTAAAGGTGTGGAATTCCGATAAAAGAATGGAGAACATTTTTATGAAATTTTGTATACCACAGGTTCATGGTTCTGCGTGTGCGGACAAATACGGATGAAGATTTACTGCCAGTCATGTCCACTGCAATCTTCGATCTCCTTCAAAAGCGGTTTGTGCAAGTTGTTATCAAACAAAGGTAAACAAATTTCCTTTTTCAAGAACTTCGTATTTTATTTTAACGGTGAATTCAAATTTTAAGTTAGGTGATGTCTAGCTACATGTGCAAAAAAAGAGCACGACATTTTCCGTTTTTATCATTTTTTTAGGCAAAAGGCAACTTTATCTATAAAGGTTTTGCCATACACTGGTACAGACTAATGAATTCTGCATTTCATTTCAAATCTAAAGAAATTATAAAGACTGCAACTTATCGGAACATTTTTTATATATAGAATATAGAAGAGAATAGAAAAAGGTGGATGAGGTCAAAGGTGGAAAAAGGTCAATAAATATTATTTTTAATTTATCAGATCTGATAACCCATTTGACACACGACTTACGATAGTGCCTGCCAGCCGAGTTCAGAAAATAGTAAAACAGATGACAGACGACGGATATGAGGATGGACCGGAACCAAGTCCGGTAGTAGGCGTTTCCGAAGGGGACTTAATCGAAATCAACTTCCGGGGCAATATTCAAAACGGCTCCAAATCTCCAAATTTTATTTACAATTCGAATGTGGTTTCCTTCTCGGAATTCCTACTTTCTGAAGTAGACCAGTATCTTCAGAGGAATTTTAACGTTTTTCGGGGTGTGGTAGAAGCATACAGGGTTCAGTTTGTGACTCCGGATAAAAGGACAATAGCCCGGAAGGAGTCCATTATGGATGAAAATTCTTTCTGTGTGCGAAAGGAAAAAAGAAAGACCCTATTATGTGAAATTCCTATAACCATACCTAAGGTAGTCAAAATATTCCGATTCTCTGTAAATTAATTCTTCTGTTTATAAGGATTATGAAGAAAAAAAATCAACAAAATTTAAGCTTAAAAGTATACTTAAGCAATTCTCCGAACTTATTTTCTATGATCATTCGAAACCTCTCATTTACTTCCAGTATCACGTGGAGCCTTCGCCTGTCCCAGTACAGGCCCCTGTTGTTATTCGGAACGACTCGGACGCAGTTAATGATAACTTGATGCGCCAACTAGCGGCAGAAATGGGAGACGAATGGAGAAAAGTTGCTTCGACATTAAACATCAGCAAGGCGCGGATCCAAGCTATTATAAGAAACGCTCAGATCACGGACGCAACAGATGAAGATGCCCGCTTTCAGATGCTGATGACGTGGTTGAAGAAAATGCCAAAGTCTATAGATAAGGTAAATATATACAGTAAACCAAAATTAAATATACATATAGATAAGGTAAATATATACAGTAAACAAAAATTAAATATACATATATAGATACAGTTAAAATGTTTAAATCGAAAAAGGATTTCGCGAATGTTCCTTTCAGTTAACGCATTTTTTTTTTTACCAAATCCTAAAAAAGTAAAAGGATATAGTAAATTACAGACATAAGGAAGCAATTTAGGCCGTGCTTAGTATGTTACTGTAATAACTTTGTCAAATGACTAGGCTGCTGAAGTCAGATTTTAAACATTAAGACGGAGTGAACGTTCTTTCATGTATTTGCGAGTTTTTGCAATAAGTAAGCATGTATTGTAGTGAGATTACATGTATGTGTATGAACTGTGAAAGCAATGTAAGCTATTCAAAACCAAATCTAATGTTTTTGCTCTACCGAATGTTTTTGTATCGTTTTAAATGATCGAATTAACTTTTATTAGTTTACATCTAGGAAAATATTTAATATTCTGCTTTAGTAATATTTTGTAAATGAAGATTTTAGAGATGATTTTTACATGTATGTCGTGTTATTCTTCTGATCTTAATCAAATCAAAAATAAATCTAAAAGTAATTATTGTATTTAATATTTGAATTCCTAAGATAGTACGCCAGTGCTTATAAACCTTGGTACACTGTTTACGAGGAGTTCTGTCCCCTGATTGATAATGATTATCTTTGATTATTTTTTTTTCATCTTGACTGTTTTATCACAAAACAATTTTTTTAAGTAGCTTTTCCCAACCTTTACTGTCTCATCAAGCTTGGTTTTACTCCATTATTTAAAAAGCAACAAAAACTAGTGTGGTTGTACATTTTCAATACTAAAATATTTATATTCCTTCAACAATTAATTTTTTTTTCATTCACACTTATGAAGCTAGTGTATGTTTATTCATATTTACATTATATATTCTAACAGGTGACTGTCTTGACAAACGCTTTCATGAAGAATGGCCGGCCGGACCTGGCAGAACAAGTTCGGATTAAGGATGAAGAATTTAAACGGAAGCACATTCGATCTCACTAAAAGTCAAACCCAAAATTGTGTAAGATTCCGTTGTTTCTCTGTTTCCGAACTTCATAACAAACCATTTGCATACTGTGATATTTTTAGTCATATCAGACCCCATTTATTTATTATTTTATGCACTGTGTAGTTCCAAGAATCGAATTCAAATATCTAGTTTCACATATTGCAATCATTCTTTTAAATTAGAGTTATTTGTTGTTTAGATTATATGCATTTATTTAACACAAAATATTGATAAAGTTTCCGTTTACATATTATGGATAAATAACACAAGTATATTCCATATCTTTGTATTGTACTATACACGTGATTAATTGCACGGTACTTTTTACACAGGTCTCCTATTGCTATTTCAAGTGGTATGAAATCAATTCTAATTGTTAATTTAATTAGTTTGGTGCAAATAGCGGATATATTGACCAATAGTTGGAATTTACATTGTCTCGATACCTCTAATCCAAATTATTGGTGAATTTCCTTAATATTTCTTTTTTTTTTTTTTGTATGTATAATCTTTGGTGCAATATACAACTCGGTCAACTCTCAAAAAATGTCTTCCTCGTAAAAGCTCATCATATTCTGACTGTTCTTTATACATGTAGGTATTTATTAACTTCTATAATAAACATTACTTCCTGCCAAAGTATCGTTTACTGACATTTATTTGAAAAATGGAAAGAGTACTTGACTCACTCTCTCTCTCTCTCTCTCTCTCTCTCTCTCTCTCTATATATATATATATATTTCATTGTGTATTTATTTTTTCAATAAATTCAGTAAACGATAAAAAGTAAAAAGTGTGTAGATAAATTATTCAGATTAAGTAAATAGTGTGTTAACTTTTGTTTTTCATACTATTTTAAATATTTATTGTCCATTCATGAATACTGTAAAAACATTCTTCTCATCAGCATATCAAAATATTTTTAGTTAAGAAAATATAAATGTACATCTGAAACACCTCTCTTCTTTCACAATATCCTTACGTTGTTTTTGAGAGTATATCTTCAATATGGAAATTTTTACACATTATACCAAATTTTATCTTTTTGGTTGTGATTTACATTTATATGTATATATTATTTTCTGCGTTTTTTTTTAATGATACTACATAGATATTTAAACCTGCAGTTTAAAAAAAATATCTGTGATTCGTTTATGATATCCGTCCAATTAATATATTTATTTATTATGAGTACATGTATATCGCTTAAATATTTTTTTTTTTTTAGATTTACTCTGTAAGTGGAATAAATCATTAGGCAGTTAAATGAGTTCTGTTTATACTTTATTGGATTTAAGAAGAAATACTTTTTCTGTTGTAAGGAAACGGTGTAGCTAAAATTTGTTTGAAAACAACGACCTCATAACTGATATGAATCATGTCAGTAGATCTTATAAGGATGATACTGAAAGTAATTATTAAAGATTCTAAGATGATACGAAAGATTACAAAGAAAATAATGATAAAGATGATGTCAGTATAACAGTATAATGAAATGTAAAGATAATGAATAGTGATCAAGCTCAAAATTTATCAATACAAGTAGTGAAAAGAGGCAACACAAACTTCTGAAAACATTGAAGGGATCAGGTACCATGGAGGAGTAAGCATCCCCTGTCAACCTATCACACTCGCCCTTTGCTTCTTGTCATGATTGGCTAAACTGGAAAATCTACAGGTTACAATTCTGTGTGAAAATAATGACCTAACAATTATAATGAAAAACATCAAGAAGATGGTGATGATGATGATGATGATCACGATAATAATGAAGATGATTATTGAAGATAGAAAATACAGATGTGGAAGAGTCCGGAGGTGCAATTAAATAATGTTTTACTTGCAAAATATGGAAAGTTTTACAGGAAAATTTGAAGTAATCTGATTATCTTTTAAAAACCTTTGCTACAATATGACAAAAACTAGTTATTATTAAAATGTTGAAGTTCAACTAAAATATTACGTATCTCCAATGTATGACGTTTTCAAAGTCACCGACATTACAGTAGACAAATCAACATTGCAGTCTACTATTATGCAATAACTTTGCACAACGTCTCAATGTAATCAAAATAAAGATAAATAATAAAAAGTATATACAGTGCAGGTGTTTCGAAATGGAAGCTACAATGATCAGCAGCTGTTATGTTGTCTAGGAGTGATTGATTGATTGATTGTATGTTGTTTTACGTCCCATTCGAGAATTTTTCACCCATATAGAGACGTCACCATATACCGGTGAAGGGCTTTAAATTTTGACCTTTACTCGGCACTCAGGGCCATTGAGCAGTGAGGGATCTTTATCGTGCCAATGCCTGCCGTGACACGGGGCCTCGGTTTTTAAGGTCTCATCCGAAGGACCCGCAACTTTCACTTCAAAGTGCCGAGCGCATGGCGAAGGAACAATTGCTACCCATTTTTTATCGACTTAGGTCAGTCGCGGCCGAGATTCGAACTCACGACCTCCCGATCACGGAGCGAGCGCTCTACCGACTGAGCTACCGTGAACGGTGTCTAGGAGTGAAGCATGACTTTTGATACATACTGATTTATACACACAAATACCGCATCCAGATAGTTACGGATCTCGTAATCCAAATGTGATTGTTCAACATTCTCTTTAAAAAAAAGTTCGAAACTTTCACAATTCTTCTCGCCTCAAGGACACTCAAATCTCAGCCCTATCCATGCTCGATATTCAATGGTCTAGACATCAGCTATGAGATTTCTTTCATTGCCTATAGATCAACGGTATCCTTCTGTTAATTAGGTAAAGTCATTTTTTCAACTTCCAACTCCAAAAAAAAAATATTTTTAAAAAAGAAAACACCGACTACCTGTAACATCTGTAACAATTTATAAAAATTTACTAAAATTTATTGAAAGTTTCTCTGGTTATTTGTTTCCTTTCAGATAAACAATAGGACTTTCCAAGTTTTTTTTTTTAAATTATAATTTTTAGAACCTCCTAGCTCATCCCTTCTCACAAATTTTGTTTTATTTTCTTGTGCCCCTGAAACCAGTAGTAACGTTGTACACTGTCTGATGAACGTACATGGGATATGGATCCCTTTTCTATGCTTAATCCTGTCCAATTTTTTTTTTAAAACCACAGGGTATTGGAATGAATTTTATTACTTATAAGCCCTGATTTCTATTAAAAATCCTCGTCGGGAATTTGTTATAATCAGCTTTGTTAGCCGGGCCACGAAATAATGCTTTTCCATTGATTCAGAAAAAAGACTTTGTGGATAATGCCTTACTTCTGCAAATTCTTCCAATATAACAGGTTTTCAATTGTAACTTGCATTTCCTCTACTCAAGAATATTTTGTGCCATGTGTGGTTGAAATAGGTCCTGACGGACAGTCTGACGTACAGACAACTGAAAATGTCGATAAATAAAGCTCAACTGAGCTCTTGGCTCAGTTTAGCTTAGAAAACTCATTAACAACAATTAGAACAACATGCACGAATCTAGAGGGGAGGGGGGTATGGGGTGCTCCACGGGATTTGCAGTAATTAAATGTATACACTGAAGCGAGTAAAAAATGACTTTGGACCTACCCCTTCCCCTTGGAAAACGTGAACTCCACCATCACCACCACGAAATAGGTGTTTTTCACGCTTTGGAAATAGATTTTGCTTGTCAAGATTTTTTTTTTTTACTGGGAAGGACCCCCCTCCCCTCCTGAAAAAAAAAAAATCCTGGAACCGCGCCTGTGCAACAACATAGACCTGCTGTAAAATGAGCTCAAGATTAATCTCGTTTCAAATTTAACCGAGTTTATCATTTTACTGTGTTGGTCTCCATATTACATAGCTCTTCCTTGACATATGATTTTTTTTTGTCGTGAGTTTCTGACGTAGATTCAGAGACATTTATTGAACTTAAATATTTATATAGTTTTGTCTGTAATCTATAAATGTTTTATGACACACGGTGCTTATATGAACAAAGCTTTCAAGTAATTCTTTTGGTTGTAACCATGATGATTTCCAGTTTTATATCTAAATAATCAATTGAAAGAATAATGTAGCTTTAAAAATACCACCAAAGGACCGTGGGTTACTATAAATCTTTCAAGCACATTCAAACTTCTGCGTTCCTTATATGGGGGAGTTTTATTAGTCGACCGAATTTGTAACAACCAATTGCTATTCTTTTTTTTATGCCCCTGGATCGAAAGATCCCGGGGGTATATTGTTTTTGTCCTGTCTGTCTGTTTGTCTGTTTATCTGTTTGTCTGTCTGTCTGTTGTCAACTTCAACCTTGCCCATAACTTTTGATTGGTTGGAGCTATGAATTTCATATTTCACATGTGTATTCCTTGTGACAAGATCTTTCTTTGGGTACCATCATATTTGACCTTTTGACCTTGACCTTGGAGTTTGACCCACTTTTGCAAAATTTTATGAGACTTTAACCTTGGCCATAACTTCTGAACAGTTGGTGCTTGGGCTTTCAAACTTTACATGTGTATTTGTTGTGACAAGGCCTTCCTTTGGATACCAACAACTTTGACCTTTTGACCTTGACCTTGGAGTTTGACCTACTTTTGAAAAACTTTATCCTTGGCCATAACTTTTGAACAGTTGGTGCTTGGGGTTTCAAACTTCACATGTGTATTCCTTGTGAAAAGACCTTCCTCTGGATATCAACCTCTTTGACCCTTTGACCTTGACCTAGGAGTTTGACCTACTTTTGCAAAACTTTAACCTTGGCCATAACTTTTGAACGGTTAGAGCTAGGGCTTTCATACTTCACATATGTAATCCTTGTGACATCACCTTCCTTTGAATACCAACCATTTTGACCCTTTGACCTTGACATAGGAGTTTGACCTACTTTTAAAAAACTTTAACCTTGGCCATAATTTTTAAATGGTTGGTGCTAGGGCTTTCATACTTCACATATGTAATCCTTGTGACAAGACCTTCCTTTGGATACCAACCACTTTGACCCTTTGACCTTGACATAGGAGTTTGACCTACTTTCGAAAAACTTTAACCTTGGCCATAACTTTTGAATGGTTGGTGCTAGGGCTTTCATACTTTACATATGTAATCCTTGTGACAAGACCTTCCTTTGGATACCAACAACTTTGACCTTGACCTTGATGTTTTACTTACTTTTAAAAAACTTTAACCATCGCCATAACTTTTGAACAGTTGCAGCTAGGGCTTTCAAATTAAACATTTTTTATCTTTTGGCCTGGATTTTGACTTGCATTTGAGAAACTTTAACCTTCGCCATAAGCTGCCATACGGGGGCATCAGTGTTTCACAAACACATCTTGTTTTCTTTTCTTTTTTTAAAATTCTTCCGAGCCCTTGGTTTTTTCAGATGTTCAACATGACGAACATATGATTAAGTGGACTGTTCTGTTCAAATTTTCTTAATTTCAAACTTTGTATACTAATAATCTGTTAAAATTTATTTTCATTTTCTGAAGAGAAGAAAAATTACTGACAATGTTGTGATACATATGATGTGTTTTAATTGGAGACTTATCAACACTTTGTTTTACCATCCGGAAGTGAACTATGACCTTTACACCATGTCTCTATATATACAAAAACAACATCCAGATAGTGCCCGTTTTCTAGCTTACGTGCCTCGTAAGCCAATTGTGAATGTTCAACATATCCTCCAATCTCTTTGAAAAAAGCTCGATAACTTGACAAATTTTCCTTTCCTTTAGGCCAATCAAACTTCGGTCCTGCCCAAGCTCGATATTCAATGGTCCAAACATCAACGATTATTTGTCTAGAGATCAACTGTTCTCTCATGCTGTTAAGCACAACAATTTCTCCGCCTTCTACATCTAAAGAAAAATAATTTATATGGAAGACACCCACTATATGTAATACGTCAACTAACTGAAAACAAGGTACTCTGGTCCTTTTGTTTCCTTTCAAATGAATAAGATGACTTGTCGCCATGTCTTTTTCAGAACCCCCTAATTCACCACCTTCTATAAACGTTGTTTCATTTTCTTTTGCCACGCATGCGCACAGACACCAGGCGTTGCGTTTCGCACGGTCTATGAACGGACATGACGCAGGGTTCCCTTCTATTAACAAACCTGTCCAGTTGTGTTTTCTTTCCAACCACAGGGTATTGGAATGAACTTTACCATCATAAGCCCCCATTTCAATGAAAAAGCCGTTTTTCTTGGGGAATATGTTATAAACAGCTGTATCTTGTCCGGCCTGGGAGTAATGCCTGTCTACTGGTTCTGGAAAAGGGTTATATGGATGAGGCTTCCGCAAATGCTTCCAGATTTTTGTAGTGAGTACATGTGTTCCCGACATTAGAGTAGACGGGGTTTGCTGTAAAGTGCTATCTATCGCTGAAACATTTCGCGCTATTAAAAAGTTCCTCACGAGTTTGAGATCACGTTCCAAATCTCTGTTAAAAATGAAAGATCTGTGATTCATCAAGATAAGGCAAAGGATTCCAACTATACATATAAAAGTTGTTTTTCGATACCAATTCATTGTGGATAGGACTTAAATCCAAGGAAAATGATACAAACCTGCAATAAAATGAAGAATTTATATGGGTTTTTTTCTATTTCACGTTATAGTACATTTGATTTATTGATTGGTTTTGTGCTGCTTCACGTCCTGTTGGAGAATTATTCACTCATATAGAGACGCAGTAGGTGTTGGATTGAAAAAAGATCCCTTACTGCTCAGTGGTCCTGGGTGCCGAGTATAGGTCCAAATTTGCGGCGCTACACCGGCAAGTGGTGGTTTCTCCGATGAATGAAAAATTCTCGTGAGGGACGTTAAACAAGAATCAATCAATCAGTTAACTTTGATTTATGACGGATATCGTTTTTCAGAATATCTACTATTGATCTATTTAAGATAACTGTTGTGTTTTGAATAAAAAAAAATATATTGGCTTCTTTTTTTCAGCATTTTTCGTCTTTTCCTACATTTTAAGTCACTACACACTATAAAAGGACAAGGGCTCTAAAAATTTACCGTACGTAGAGTATTCAAATTGCTGACTTTGGTGTACAAGTACATGTATGTTAGTTTTTTTCATAGATGAAACTTTCATTTTTTATAAGACTTTATGTATCTATGGACGCGTTTACTGGTGTTAGAAAATATTGCAATGTTGGGTCATTAATTTGTCAGTATCTTACTTCTCCAACTATGTGCATATTTCTTGGTCTATTTGCCCATGTTCTTTAAAAATGATTTTAAAAACCAAATTGTGATTTCCTATTTTTGATAATCAGACGAGATATCTTTTTTAATTATTTCTTAAAAACATTTACATTAAATGCAGTCAAGGTTATATCCGATATTTAGAACCACAAATCTCTCTTTATTTTCTTTAAAAATCTGAATGATAAAACATTCTCATTGCGCTAGTCTTTAATGATCCAAAACATCAAAACCTTACCTTCTATTCAAATTCCTTCTTAATTGTCCTCTTATTGATAATTGTCCTGATATGCATGTAATTACATGTATCTGCAATGTGTAATGTCCAAAAGGAAACACTTTTACATCGATAAATATAAATTAGTCCTGTCCATTTGTCTAAAAGGCAGATATTTATATAATGAATCAATATCAATTATTGATCACATTTAACTTGAATACACATGTATGAATGCAGCGTTGATTCAGGTTCAACAACTTCTCCTGAAGCCAATTTAAGGTGTCCACGTCTCGACAAAAATCCAAATCCATTTGTGAGGTTACAAATATTTATTAATTCATAGAATTCAGATCCATTCTACTCATCGTATGAGTTTCCATCAGTAACAAAATTAATACAGTGTCAGATGTCGTAAAATATAAAGTGCCTGGTCATATGGGAGGTGATGCATTTATCTCAAGCTTACGACCATCTATGCAAGTTCTTTAAATCAATGAGATTTCTTGTAAATGTATACATGACTATTTTTTTACTCAGGTGTTGCGGACATGCTATTGTGTATTATTAATCTTTTTGCGAAAATGTCCAGTGGTATTTCTAAAACGCTTAATCCGTTTGGCCTTTAAATTCTCCAGAAGCAAAGTTCATACATAAACTATGTATTGGGATTTTAAAACCAAAATAAAAGGTTAAAGTTACCTATTGAATTATTTATGTCTAAGTAAGTAACCTAATCAATAGCACGTTGATAAATTGATTGTATTCATTGATATATTTATACAGATGAAATTAAATGATATAACACATGGTATTATAACTTTATATTTGTTGCAATTTGATTTCTTATATATTTCCCAGTAACAATAACATGCAAAATTAACACTGTCCTGAAATTCATATTCATCATGAATTAGTAAATAGAGGTATCAGAAAGATGTTTTTTAAGAAATTCAAATCTTTTTTGCACAATAACTATCGTGTACAGAAGCAACTTTTAAATATATTAATTATATTAATGTAGGTCGCGGGTTTACTGCATAATTAAATCATACGAGAAAACATACCCTGAAAATTTGATATAATGTTCATTTGAATTTGCAGCATATTATCTGTAATTTTCATTAAGTTTGCCTACGTAATTTTAATGCAAAATTACTCTAAACGCGGGGTATTTTAGGCATTATTTTTACGATTTCCGAATGATACATATAGGAAAATACCGGGGTTTTTTTCTATGAATTTTTTCAGTTAGAGTTCTTTTGAAAAATATCAGATAACTTTGTAAAAGACATAGACGAATTTGTCAGGAATTTCAAGAGGTCAAGACGAGGAAAATTTAAAACTGTTGGTATCAAGAAATCAATATGTCTTCTCGTTAATTTTTTTCTCCTATTTAATTTAATAGCTTGCTTTCAAATTGCCGAAATGTTGTATTTATGGCGTTATTTCTGACTATTCTGTCATATTGGACGTAAAAGCGTTTATAGATACCCTTATATTTAGAATATGCATTATCTAAAAGAAATGACAAAAATGTACATTACAATTTTTTTCATCATTTCACAAAATGCAGAAACATGTAGGAAAGAAAAGCAATTTATTCACACTAATATTGTAAAATTCATATACTGGCCATGAAGTCTGAATAAACGGAACATTGATATGAATATGCTTCAAGCATCAAAATTAAATAATGTGCATCAACGCAGCGAGTGTTACATGTAATATATTAGTTCAAGTACTTTTAGCACATGCTTGTTCATAAAAAAAAATCCAAGCACAATACCGTAAATTTTATCAATTTATCGAAATTGGCGAAGTATGGAGGAAAGGGAGGGGGCAATTAATTTATTATGTCAGCCGCACGACAATTCGTGGCCAAAACTCTCAAAATACACTAGACAAAATTGCTAACGCACCACTTTTTATTCTTATATGTGAATTGATCATTTTCCTGATTGGTACTAATATATAAAATATGCCATCTTTTCCAAAACATTTGGATTGACAAATGTCTTGGTGTCATGTCAAGACCCTTATAGGACCTTCTTGTTCGAAAACCAATTTCCCGACGTGCACTGCGCACCGTTTTTGCCAAGATATGAAGTTGGTGATTACCGATGGTGGTCCGTGAGGTTGCGATGGGAGCAGTCTCCCACTTAAAAATCAAATGATATATTCTGATTGTCTACCATATCGCTTAGTAATCATCCAGTGCCTTGGTGTCCCTACCAAATCCACCCAACTTCCGGTTGCCATGCACAATTTTGCAGAACAATCTTGAAGTTATTGTGTGGTGCTTACTTAATGCTGTCGCTATCTATTATAAACATTTGTGTGATTGTTTATTCATTTTCAACAATTTTTCATCAGAGAAATGCATAATCTTTTAATTGTTTTAATTTTTCACGAATTTCTTCAAAGGAACCCACTGCAGACACCATACTGGCTGTCTTAGCACGCTCTTCTAGAGTCAAATGCCGCATACGGTGAGTTTTTGATTAATACAAACATAAAGAACACAACCACAAAGAAAAATATAGAAATTTATTCCACCAAAAATGTATGGACATGATTTTAATTTTTTTTTCTATGAAGTGGTTACGCTTCAGTAAACATTGTTGTTATTTATCAGTTAAAACATTTAAATGTCTCATTTTTATTAAAGTAACATAATTATATATCAAAAACATCATAAACAAGTTTTGAAAAGAGAAATGTTCATTTATTTAGGTGGTGCATTAGCAATTTTGTCTAGTGTATTTATTTAGATAAGATGGCATTAAATATGTTTAAGTATTCTATTTGCTAACTGAAAAAAAACTTGCATTCAGCTCATAAAGAGACACAATTTTCTATGGAAGAAAAAAAAAACCCTGTGCTTAATACTTATACATAATAAATCATATTTTGTTATCATAAATAGGTCTGACAGTCCGGGTGCTTGAATTTATAATTGGCAATTTAAATGGGATTGTAAATAATGCGTTTCACTAACGAATTATTTCATTACTTTATACATCTAAATAGCGCCCCTCATGACTTACTTCAAAATATACGAAGAACAATTATAAGAAAAATACCTGTATTTAAATTTTCAATAAATTTAGCGTCGATAGAGGATCGACGTCACCTTAATCGCTTAACTGACTTCATAATTATAGCTTGTATCGTTAAAATTGTGTACCGAAAGTGATGACATAAGCAAACCCGTGACCTACCTTAAATTATTTCGATTTTTATTCAACATGGACGAGGATCATCAAAAAATTTCGTAGAATTTTGTCAGCTGACCTGAGCTGAGAGCTCAAGTGAGCTTTTCTGATCAAATAAGTCTGTAGTCGGTCTGTCCGTCTGACCAGAGTTCAAGCGAGCTTTTCCACTACTGGACGAAAAAAGTGCTGAGAATCTCAAATTTTACTGATAATGTTTGATAATTACTGATACTGTGCTGTTCTTGCTGATAAATACTGACATTTACTGTTATTCTTACTTTTGTTACTGATAATTTTAGTTGTTTCTGATATTAAATACTGATAAGTACTGTCGTCTTTACTGTTGAGTCTGATAAATACTGATAAATACTGTTGATGTGCTGTCGATGCTGAGATTTACTGATAATTACTGTGGTCATTGATTTTTAGATGAGAAGGTGCTAAAATAGAGCTTACGGTTGTTAAAACCTTCTTCAATCATTACTTTCTTTTTATTTAATTTCACAACAATATTTTCATGTTTCTTTATATTTACTGCTTGTGACAAAAAATATGAAATTGATCTCGATTACAATACGGTTGTGAAAATCTTGACAATTATAATTAAAGTTATCCATTACATAAAATTGTCAGCGTAAAGGCAAATGTTTTCCAAGAATCTATGAAAGTACATATTTGTCTGTAAGCAGAAT